GAGGTTATATGGAAACAGCATGGGAAATAACAACGTAAGTTCAGATATAGTACAATTGTACAACTCAATATCCCTCGAAGAAGGACTCGGCAGTGATGCGCTCTGTCGGACAATAAAACACGATAGACACTAACTGTGGCTAGCTAGTTAGTGCAGGCCAAGTATGGAGCTGTCAGGGCGGCGAAATGAGAGACGATAGGTGGACGAAACCCACCGGTTAGTTTGACGACGCTGATTCGAATGTTCCAACGCGTATTTATATATAGACATTTACATAAATATATACTATGTGTCGAAAGGAAATTCCCGCTACGAAATGGAAGAGAACGAAACGATGATACAAAGTTGAAAAAAATATTGGCTAACGAGAATGTTAAATCTTTCACAAAATCTATAGTAAATTAGTATATGTCATAGTGTTGTGAGAATGCCGGATCGTCGTTCTAATGGACCTTCAAAGCATCGAGAAACATGAATACAACTGGCACACGATAACGAAGTACCGAGCCTTCGTTAAACGTGCATTAATAGTACATTTGTTAAGTTACTTTCTTTCACCTGTAAAGTTTACATATACATCATTAGTCAACGGTTGTATGATGCCAAACTTAATTAGCACAATAGCTGGCCAAAAAACCATGCGTGGACGGTAATGAACGTGCCAGGTGTTGTCTCGTAACGTAATCGGGGAAGCTGAAGAATAGTATACGATTTGTGTTTGAAATTATACAGAGTTTAGAACAAATGGCGTACACGTATTGCAGATTCAGTGTATTGCTAGACGACTAAGGGAAACAAGATTACAATTAGTGGCCTATTCAAGATGTATGTCTGAGACAGTTTAGTAATGTCCTAATAATGCGCGAACAATTTCGAAACCTATTGGCTTATTCTATATAGCTCGTCATGAAATTTGTTTGGAAGGTCACACGGCTTTATTGGATCATGGAATTTTCGTAAACTATCACAGCCTTGCGTCTTTTACTGAATGCATTTTTGAATACGCTGCCCGTCTAAAAAGTAGCAATTAAATTCGATCTTCGATACTTCGGAAATACTTCGAGAACGAATCCATATAGGCACTCACCTTACTTCATATGGTTTGCTATGGATACCTTTATTACATCGGTATACGGCACGTAGGAGAACTGATGTTCTGAGCGAAGTCTTAAAATCTTCCCAATAGCCAGGCCATCGATAGCAAGTGGGTCTTTTCATACCTCATACGGGTATGCAAATTGGCGTAATTGCTGGGGCTGAATGTTATTTAGTATTACCTTAGATTACTGAACCTCGGGTTATGATATCTGCGGCAAAATTATTTGCTTAAAATAAACAACATCATCTATTGCCATATGAAAAATAATTCTCTTGAAGGCTGTATCCATCATTTGAAAGTTTTATAAAAAGCTGCACATTACTAAAATGTCCCAGCACTGATAGCTCTCCTGAAGGCTACTATCTGTGGGCCTTCTTTTTGCTGAGTAGCCGTACCAGAAAAATGCCTTCTAACGCATTATGAACAAGCTTCCTTTTAAAACACATTGTACCTAAAGATTTGTCTATTAAGTTTCAAAATTCACTTACCTTTTGGATGTGGGAATCGCAGGGTCGCGTACACTGTGACAATGGACATAGAATTTATGGCGTCCCTAGGACTATATGATGGGAGTAAACAATGCATTGTATCACGACCGTGAAGACGAACCGGAACCGCTGAATCCTTCAGTGTTCAAGTAATAATGATCAGCGCTTCAGTGAGCAGGTGTTTTTTTAACTAAATTTATTGACCTGTGAGACGCTTTATGGGAATAGGTGATAGGAAATATATATTACGGTAAGATCAACTTATAACTTCCATTGAAAAACATAATCGCAAAAGAAGTATATCGTATTATAGATTCGGAGCACTCTAAGGCTCACCTACTTATGAGCCACGCATAAATGTTGGTGTGGCCTTAAGAACAACGGCGCATCCGTTCCTCGGGTTATGCTTTATGATAGATGATTGAATAAGTTATAATAACTTTATTTTAACTCTGATATTATGTTGTAAGACATTTTTATTAAAATAGCTAAAAGCTCGTACGACAAACCATAACGTTTGTATATTCTCACAATACGAAACGGTTTTTGCGATGCGGAGCTCACGTTCTACGTGTGGTCCGCCGACGTCGCAGCCCCAGTGATTATGTATGTTCGAGAACCTAGCTACGTGAGAGCTTGTCGTCGCTCAAAAAAGATGGTCGCGATTATCATACACTATCTCGTAGGCGCCGACAAAGACAATACCTTCATGAAGCACCAGTTTATAAAATCGGACGGCGCTGTAAGGTGAATTTAAAGCCAAGCCAAAAATAATAAGAAGATGCAGTTTCTAAATGTATATTTTCTTTAAGTTATCGCACGTGCTGTGTCATTTCTACGACTGGCTTTTGTCGATTTGAGCTACGTCGACCTGCCCCGTAGGTTCGTACAGGGTTCCACCTTTCTCCCGTATTTTCTCTGCAAACGCGTCACCGAACCGCTAACTGGCGATTAAACCCAGTTAAACCATGTCCATCTGTGTAACAGTTAAAGGAATCAGTTTTTTTTTAGCCATCCCATGAGAGATTTGGGTATCGGCATGCCCAAACAACTACAATAATCTACCTGTTTACTTGCTATCTTCATTATTTACTTAAAAAATTAATTTTAATAGTCCAATAAAAACAAGCATGAATAAACCAAAATAGTATAATGAACACACACTCTTATTGAGCGTCGACTGCATAAGTAACGTAAAAATAGTCAGGTTAATATGCAAAGAACTGGTAAACTTAGTTAAACAAAAAATTTGGGAAATTAAAGAGCGATAAAGGGAGTCAATACGGAGTGTATTATAAAGATAGTTGAACACTAAGTATGTTCGGTACGGAACTTGAATGTCAGAAGACGCATAGGACTTCATTAGAGGACGACTTGAATTAGCCAGACATAGGAAGTTCATCGGCTTGTGAACTTGAAATGTTCTAATTTACCTACCGACTTATTATGTAAAGAGGCTCCAGATGTTACCTGGCTAAGCTTACATGAGAGACCTTTTCATAAAGAGATATTTAAGTCTTGCAAAAGGTTAATACTCATAACATTTTAGTGGACCTATCTTTCAAAACCGATAATCGCAAACATCTACCGAGTATTCCTATAATATTAAAGCTTGAACTATTTTCAGAGATCAGATTGACTAATAGCCTGTCTTTTGTTATATCAATAATGTTTTCGATCAGACTGACAGTATACAGTCTTTCCAGGAAATGGAATTCGATGAGGATGTTACAATTTGTCAATAAAACCAGCCTGCCTTACCTTACGCGTGGTTGTTAGGGATATAGCATACGACGTGGGTCAGCTTTCTGGATAAGAATTTAAACGACAGACGTTGCTAGACAGGGAAGAAACACTGTTGCCTCATATAATCAGTACGACAATCTTTTTAGGCAAGGAGAACAACTAAGAGTATATATAGTATATTGTTTGTGACGTGATAGCAAATGGCGATTCCACGCGCAACTGTGATCAATATGCATTTCTACATAGATTGCAAGTTTTACCTATGCTTCAACCGCCGCGGAGGGTTTCGTCGAAGCTCTGACCGTGAATTGATGTAGCGGCTATTGAGATTCATTTCGACAGAATTTGTAAGCGACGTAATCGGAGGGGAGGGGGAGGGGGCAGAATAACCGGGTTTAAGCGAATCCAGATCGAAAAAGGGCGCAAGCATATGCTAGTCTTTTAAGTGTACGGGAACAGTATGCTGAAGTAAACAGGCTTTGGTCAGACCGCTCATAGGACGATCACCGCAAATGCCGATACGGACCTTTCGTCACGACTAACCGTAGCACTAGTGAGATGCACTACCACTGCGCTATTGTAGAAGAGATGCAAAGAATTCGACTGAACATGACAATCTCGTGCCAACAAGGGCATATTCTTGTCTACGGGTTTGAAAATGCCTTCGCTTACTGAGTCAAGAGTGAAAGAGTACTGCTTCAGATCCTTTGTCTAAAAAACAAGGAGCCAGCGCTTGTGGTCATTCGGGGCAAGGCCGAGGAGAGCTTCTTCATCGAAAACTGGTTCGAGGCGCGATTTCGAAAAGTAGTGTTTCGGTCCAAGGTTTTCTAACTGATGAATCGGGACATAAAAAAGGCCATTTGCTTTATTTAACACCCGCAGTAAACTCTCTGCTTGAGAAAAGGCGGGCTTGCACATCTAGGATTCGTTGAGAGCTCCGGGCAGCAAGGGTCTCTATGCCATATTCAACTATTGCACTCACTTTGTTCAGTTCATGCCAGTACGAGGTCTTGTGCTGAAACTTCTATGTTAGAGGCTTCGACACTGTCGCGACGGGTAATGCAATTTGTTTTGTATAGCAAGAGGTGGCGGGCTCATTGGGACGAAATCATATCTGGTATATTCGGACCAATGTCATGTATCCACGATGCGGGACAGTCGTGAACTGCTTAGATCTTCTGGTTGCTGGAAGTCGAAGTCCACTTTTAGAAACGTTTTCTCTCAACAGCTACGTTCAAGCGATACGCTGCGCAAGATGCGTTCTGAAATATTTGTTGTCTAGTAAGCGCATTATCCAGACAGTATGTTTTGCTATATTATGCTTAGAAAAGGGTGGAACGGCGAAACTTCCAGAGCAAAATTTATCTAGTAATAAATAAACGGTATCCCCATGTGACACGTCGACAAATGTCTTTATTTGGACGTATCCATTACTCTAACAGTTGATATTTGATGATAAAAATGCTAACAATAATACTGCTAAATAAGCTCATAACATTTATGTTAGTATCTATACAGATCCACCGAGTAATTCCCTTTCTCTGTTGCCTTGGTGAAAGTATTTTATGGGAAAGGGTAATTTGTTGGCGAGGGCATCCGCAATACGGGCTGCTGACTCCCTCCGAAGAAGATTAGTCCTTTAAGCTTAACGTGGCGGGTGTCTGACACCTCTCGCTTATTAAAATGTTTCTTTTGTCAACTGGATCTGGTTTCAGGATCTAAGAGCATAAACATGAAGGCATCATATTGTAGCCGCTGTCGGAAATCACTCGTTTACCATTGAACCGATAGTGTCAGTTACCGAAATGCTGTCAGGAGTACCTATTATGCGTGATCCAGGACACCCTTGTCTGTTTGGGAGTGCAGTGTTTTTCGAGAAACAAGCATCATGTGCGGCAGATTCTATTCTCTATGCGACTATGAAGAGCCCCGGGGGCGAACGGTTTGAGAATGCCTAGGAATACCAACAGGAATAACGGCAACGCATAACACTTAGACAACGGGTGAAACAAGGAAAAGTACGGATTTGTAATATGAACAAGCTAGGATATTGTTCAAGTTAATGCTATCTATGTAAGGTATAATAGATATATATTGTGGGAGATCAGGGACCCACAGCGGTGCGCCCCATATGTCTTGTATGAGGGCGCCTAAAAGTTAAAGTGAGACATTGGGTAAAGCTGCTATTGAAAGCCAAGAACGTGTACGGAGCTAATTTCGGGGTGTGGTCAAGACGATTTCCTTCAACCTATAACTTCAATAAGGTTTTTCCTTCAAATTCAACCCTCACCTGCCATACTCATAAACATAGTTTTCCAGTGATGTCTTCATCGGCCGATACGTGTACGATATCATCAGGAAGGAAATTGTTCAATGAACCACACGACTGTTTGCCTTACAATACGCTCCCAGTCCCTAGCACTAGTTATAGCACTAGCGCTCTATAACGGCGACAACGAAATTGCAAAAGGGCCCATGTCCGGTGATCATTACCAAACAATAGAATATACAACCGACGTATTTACTTCCTTGAAGACACCAAGTAGGGTGGCATTTCAACGGAGAACAATATTCAGAGTAACGGAGAATACCCACCTCACTTTCGACTAGCAGTTAACTAAAAATCCCTCAAACTGGAAGCCCTAACAAAGCCACTGGTCTAGTCGAAGACTAAACCTGGACGTGTCTAACTGTTTACCGGGACGGAGTATATGGTAAATGGCGTGTGTGACGCCAACGCTCCATAGCCCGCATGGCGATAGTAAGAAATCGGTATCATCTTTGGTGCGCTGTGAGTCATCACCAGCCCCGAAACTTGTTGACGAATCATCTACAAACAGCGAATTGTCATGGATCGAGGCAGAGTTTGATACAATCGAGGAAACGCTCAACGTGATCACGCATCTTCTCGCGGTAGCTCCAGGAATAGCCGCCGTCGCTCACCTTTTAGCACGTGCACGCCGAACGGCGCAAACCGCTTGCGCTGTTATCTATGGCACAGCCATGATTTCATTGTTTCTTGGCAGTTCGATTTATCATGTGACATTATTATGGCCTCGCTTCAAACCTTTTCGCAATCTGTTCCTCCGAATCGACCGTTCAATGATCTACGTGTTCATTGCCGCATATTGTACGCCGTATGTTGTCCTATCAGGCCTCTACTGGGTAAGCGTACTGGGTGTGTGGGCACTTTGCGTGCTCTGTCTAATCTTCCAGAATTTACTGCATGACTGGCATGGACACCAAGCTATGTTTATCGCATTAGCAGCTTCAGTGCCGTCGGTGGTTATGGTCGCACTGCTACCTTCGGCCGTTGCAAATAAAGTCGTTCTTGGAGGAATCGCTTACACGATAGGATTTGGTTTCTATAATCTGCAAGGTCGTATGCGATTCGCACACGCACTGTGGCATTGTTGTGTGAACGTCGCGACGTGGCTATTGTTTGACGCTATGGCGGAACATTTGTATAGCAGCAAGACGATGAAGAACGATTGGTGGATCAGCCTAACTTCGTGGCTGTTTCGTGAAGAACTTAACGGGAAGCAAGCAACAGTATTATCTACTTTGTAATATAACTAATCGTATGCGATCACTCTGAACAGAACAAGCGTTCATCGCTCAGATATAAAGCAATTCGTTTGGTAACCTTTTGCGACCTGCTTCCTCCTTCAGAGTTTCTGAAGTGTAGAACGCAAACGTCACGTAAGGATGATGATTATCGGCGTTACTGCTAGGCCCATATGTTGTACTTCAATTCTGTATGCGCAGAAATTTTATAACTGAATATTGGGCTGGTTGTTTTTATTTAAAGGCCATTATCTATCATTTACCTTAATCATATGTGCTCAATTCAGCGATGCAACATACTATTTACCTTCCGAATATACTGTTCATTATTAAAATTAACTTCCATAGCTGGCCAGACAAGGATATTTTATAAATTATAGAGGTTTTATTCTATGAGATACGCTTACGAGCCGTGCGGTTCTGTAGGCAGCATCTGACCTTGGTAAAAAGTCTTCAAGCTACATCTGTTCCCTATAGTCGAAAATCGAAGTAGACCCTACCTACGCCTCGTGCCTTTATATCATTCTGATTTATGCAGCCACAGGAAAAGTGCGTTTATTATTGTGCTTGTAAAGGCTGAACAGGCAAACATACTGTTATACTGTTGTAACAATATCTGTATTGTAGAAAACAAAAATAGTAATAGTTAGTGTACATTAAATTGTTGATGATTATCATTCACTTAGTGTTTGTGCCAAAGCTGTACAGAATCCGTCTCCTGTATTTGCCACCGATTGACCAAGTTAGCGGATATACGATCTTAATTACGTAAAACTCCGTACGTAAGTAGTCTTAAATCAATTTCGCCCGCTTCGTAACGTATTCCTTGTCATTCGTAACGCAAAGCCAACGATTCCAGAAATCCGTCTAGCGAGCAGCGTTTGAATGCTGCGCGTAACGAACATTTAAAATAGGCACCTTGAAAGAGATCTGAATTACGTAGCAAATATGGCACTAGTCAGTAATATCGAAGCATCATTCGGTATCATATCTGTCAAATAGGCATACTTCATTACCGAGCTGTACATGTTGGTTTCAATGTAATTATAAACTTACCTCGAGGACTTCCTGATACATCACACCCACTGGCAAAGCAAATTATTGAAAATGGCTGAAACACAATTTGCTATGTTCATATAGTATAGTAAAGGTTCAAATAAAACGACTACACTGTCAGAATATTAATCCTTTTGAAGTTCATGTATGCGGTTGACGTTTTTTTCCGCAAATGAGAAAGTAGCTACCTATTTTTGGTACACCGCCTGACAGCATATAACCTCTGGAACACGAAATTTTCGTATATGAGGAGTAATAGTACTGTGCGTTGAATATAATATATAAAGTACCTCAAACGTCATCTATTGGGCTTTTTTTTTTTCATGCAAATTACGACAGCGCACGTTGTTTGAAATCTATAAATAAACCTGGTCAAGTACTATAGGACTATTGTTAAGCAGTCTTTGCTACTTCTTCCTTCGTTTTTATTGCTTATATACAATTAATCCCTTATATTGAGTGTATGTGATTTAATGCATGACTGTTATTCCCATACAGACTGATCGTATGTTTAATTGTTACGGCTGATTTATTGGAAAATTTGATCTGGCGTATCAGGGTGCTAAATAGGAGCGCTAATGTAGAGAGAGAATGAGAGACAGGAAAATTAAGTAACATGTCATCTGTACGTGGCAATATGCACCTCATGCGATCAACTTGGCATCACCCAATAACTTCAAGGATCTGTAGATACTTCTGATTCGGTTGAGGTAATGAATAATCGATGTAATTAGGCCTCTAAGCGTGGTAGAGCCGGCGTTCCCAGGACAGAGAAGGTACAAAATGTATTGGAGATATACTGTATGGGTAGAAACAGTAGCAGTTTCGAACCTCCTAGTCCCCGAATGGGGGTCACGCGGACCAATTGTTTATATATGAACGAGCTTGATGTCCATTGATACCGTTCGCTATCGATTCAAAAAAGCCATGATCTGCCAAACTTTTACAATAGAAGTATAGATTCGCTTATTCAATTGAGCGAGGCAGTTGTTATAAACTACATAAATAAAATCCTCGTTGCCGATCGATCAGTCGCCATAGTGGGTAGAACTAAAAACTTTGTATTACATTCGCTGATTGTTTTAATATAAACGAAGACTGCATTTCGGGACAATGATATGTACACAGAACTGGTAAAAGCCAATTCCAGAAGAAACAAATTCTGCAGCAATATATTATACGAATGTCGCTCGTTCGAATAATCTTTCCAAACTCGTTTTTTAAATTGTTCTATGCTAATTCAATAGGCTCCTAAAAAGGCGTTAGATATATATCGGCGCGATCTTGACACCGAAGGTCTATCGAGGACCTTTTTCACCTTCGAAGTTGGCAACGGGCAGAGCTTCGAAATTTCATTTGCTTGGCCGAACTGCTCAAAATGTGACACTAAAAAAATATCAACACACAACGACAATTCGTCCGATTTTTTAGTCTTGTAAAGGGAAGCCAATTGAAGTCAAAGTGCGCCTAGAAATAACGAACGGCAATGCTAAGTACGTGCAATAATTTTGGTACTAAATGATTTTTTATGGTTATTAAGTGTTGCTTTTACGGAAGCGTTATAAACAAATCTTTTGAATGCTTCAAGAAAAAATTACGACTAATATAAAGTATACAAACAATTTTCTAACTAGTCAATTTTGTGTAGGACACGTCTATATGTTATCAGCTTCCTCTATTTCCTCAATTTGAATGTTAAATCAATGTGCTGGTGGTGAAATTTATATGGTGCATTTGAGCTTTATTTTTTTTTTACAGCTTCATGATCCGTTACCGTTTTTGGTCTTCTTCGTACGAAGAGATTTGTCAACTGCTGTCTGGCCACTATATATTTTTTCTAATATTATTGTTTGATGAATTAAGCTGATAGAAATTCGTCGGCGCTCACCGATTGTTCTCATGTACAAATTCGGTTACATCCATCTCAGAGTTCACCCATCTACCTACTTGTTTGTCCTTGTTGATGTGAAAATATTGTGTACATGTATCTGAATGAATGGATGAATTATGTATTTTATTTAGGTATTTGTTTACATACAATTGTAGATCTGTATGCAAACGGATGATTCCACGTTATTTTTCAAATGAATAGATTTGTGCAATCCCACATCGTCTCACATATAAGACAGCAAAAAAATTAAATTAATATTAATTTCGTAGATGGAACAATATGAATATAGGAATTCCATCAATAAAATACTGAATCTTTTTTTTTTTCGTTCTACATCTAATAGTATACCTGTGGTGTGAGAATTCTTAATAAAACAAGATAAAGTAAACGCCTTCCCACAACGTTACGATCATAGTTGAAATTTATATTATACAAGACAGATCGTAACTGAAAGTATCAATATCGTTACTCTCTAAATAATACCTCTGACAAACGAACCGGTGTTAATAGCTGCTGTTGTTATTATTGCTTCGATGCTATTTGTTGTAGTGCTAAAGGCAGTACGGATAGAATAAGACTTGGTTTGCTGTCCCTTTGTTGTTTTGTGTTGACAACAGTTTACACAGTGCCATTGTGGTCCTTTGTCATGACATTTATTGCCCTAGCTATGTTTTAATTTGCATTCATTCTAATTAGACGATTCAGACTTTTCTTATTTGTTCATTTATCATTGGTAATACCGGTTCAGTGTTCTCGAAGACAGCGGGCTAGTTGTGCATGTTGCCTTCACTCGTCACCCATGGCCGTTGAATAGTGTCCTATATGGCCATAGCTATGAAACTAATGCAAATTGAGTCGACTAATGGATCAGAAGACACGACATGGTTACAACAAGCCGACTATGCTCCACTCTTCGGCAGAGGGTTGAAGTGCTGGTGGCGAAATAACGAAACACTGGGAAGGGAAAAGGTCCGAGGATCAGCTTGTCAGTTTTCTAAACAATCTCTGGTCAAAACGGTTTATTGCAAAATGTAGACATAGACAGATAAATACGCGGAGAGAATTAATTCGAAAAATACGATATAAACTTTACACTAAGTAGTCGGTAATCGTACTAATAGTGCACGTTGAGTTGTAGAGATAGTATTGTTATCAACTGCGTTCTCTTGCACAGTGTACACGCTTCAAGGTCAGACTCGTATCCCAGCGAGGGCTGCACGTTTTCTTCATTTTATTCGTTGACACGTATCTATTACTAACTTTCCTATGTTTATATTCGTTATTACTATCATTAATGATGAGGATAGTAATGACTCCTACAAATGGTAATAGAACACATGTACTAAAGAAGATGCCATATGAGGTAAGCGTTTGTGCTCGTAGATATCCCTTGTTTAAGCACAGACTAGCAGATTATATCGGTAATATCATACATCATTGCGAAGTGAGTATGGTTTACGACACAGGGCAAAGCGAATGCTTGCTCGGGAGGCAGCAAAGACTGACGGCACGTGATTTTCCCGTTGAGTATTTTTCTTTTTTTTGTAGGATTTTTATGTACATTTTTTTTTCGTAGTTATAGCGGGCACGTTGCTACGTGGTCATTCAGTGAACGTAGTAAACTGCTTTGACAATGAATACATCATACGAAGTTTATTCTACTAGGCAAAGTAAAATTCATATTTGCACATAGTGAACCATATAAGGACGGTAAAATGTTCCCAAGTTCCCGTGGGATGCCTCCCAAATCATCGAGTATAGAGCCGCGATCGATCGTATCTATTGTCGAACCATTATATGCTAAGGGCCAGCACAGTTAAACCTTTAATACACTTTGTTTTTAGGCTTGAACCATTATTGTCATGCTACTAGAGACAAGATAATATCATATTATATTGCGAGCTGAATATCTCTATGCTATTACACATGTGCGTGTGTGTGTTGGCCTACTTCCTCTTCGTACATCAAATATAAGCCCTAATAGCAGTATAATCACTTGTAGAATTCTATAAATAGCACTAAAACATTAATTCCGTTTTTCTTTTCGAAGGCAAATTACATTAGATCAATCAATGTTATTACAGTGCTATCTTTTATAGCTAGGACGAAGAGATTTTTTATTTCGAATATGCTATTCTCGCTCAAAGAGCCGAGCTGCTTTTTTTGTCAGTTGACGCCTGTCATATTTGCCGAATCCTGTTTATCGTGTTCATTTCAAAAACAACTCCACGAATTATAACGGTATTTCCCTCCGAATTTCTGCAGCTTGATCAAGTGCTTCTTGCTATTTCTCCTTGTCCATTTCGCGTCGGATCTTTTCATATGTAATCCGATTTGTACGGTTTCGGTATTTCCTTGGGGGTCCCTGTTGCTGCAGCTGCTTTTGTCGACTTTTTCATACTTATCGTAATGTTAGAATCTGTTTGTAGTACTCGCTGTGGTTAGTTTCATGATCAGCTCGTTCTGTGGCGTTTTTCATTGACGTCTTTTGCACACCGTCCTGTCGCGTATAGTTCTTCAATTGTTCGCTGGTAAGATTCGGTTTATGTACAAGTTACGCAAAGACAATGCCCTCAATCAATCAGTTGATAGACCGCCCGATCAATCGGCCACTGCGTGAACTCTTTAAAAAACAGCAAGTATTATGACTTGGAGAGTGTTTTTCAACAAAGACAACGTATGTCATACAAAGCCCAGTCGGCTAAGCAGACGACAGAGCTGTGTGAGTGTGTGTGCATTATGTAACGATAACTGCTAGAATGTTCGGTCATTGGTTGATTTATGGCTTCGAAGCTATGATATATATCAAATTATATATGATAGTTAGGCGACACCATGTCACATTTGTGGAACTATAGATGGAAACTGTGAATGATTACGAACCGTGACTACATAAGCGTAGGTAGGTAGGTAGGTTACGAACGGGACGTTACCCTTGCTATGATACTGCTTACAACAATTGCGAAGGCTATATATATATATATATGTATATTAAATATTAGCATCGTTTTTATGTCATTTCTGATATAAAAAAATTCACACTAATTCAATAATTGAACAACACCGATCGCAGGCTGCTATATCTCTTTTTGGTCAAACAACAAATTACGGATACGTGCAGGTAAATCTTGGCGAATGCCTTGTCAGTGTTTCCGGCGTAGCCCCTGGCAATTTCGACAAATATGGACAATGACAACTTTATAATTTATAAATCCGCGGTCGGCTGGCGCAGACCTTTATTTCCAGATGCAATAAAGATCAACTATTCATTCAAAACCTTCATTTGTATTTGCTATGTCTTTCATATTAGCACAATATGTATATATTTATAGGAGTTATGCGACTTTACGAACATGTCATGTTTTCAAGATAATGCACAATTTATACAGAATATGGGATAAAATTCATTTTGCGCCGATCGTATAAACAGTAGCGACCCCGTGCCCACCCGATTCTCTCCGTAGCAGCAGAAATGTATACATGTTTGTCCAGCTTCACTGAGCGCAGCAGTGCCCTTGAACGACCGAAGTGATGCTGATCAAGGAGTTGTGCAGCATGTTATATGAACGGCGTGCTCTTAAGGAACGCGTGGCGTTATGAAGGTCACCTTCTTGAAAGCATCTATCGAATGGTGTCCACTTGAACTTGGACGGCCTCTTGAACTAGATGACATCCACAGATTCTGCATTATGAACTAACCTATACATTTTAATAATAAGGTTTGATTTTGAGTTTCGTTTCCAGATTTTACGTGCATGTATTGTTCTGTCTATTATTATCATACTTTCTACGGCGTACGGCATGCATTACGCGCAATCGCGGTGTGCCTTATACTACTCTGGAATGGGAACTCCTCAAAGCTATATCGGGTAGAATCTTTGTTTACCGATTCAGATTTGTGGATGCCGCAAACGGCCGCTGAAGAAGCTCTTCACAGGATAATAGTACTCGCGACGTAACACGACAAAAGGCGGCCACGATTTCACCTGAAGCGTCAGTCACCGCCATTGCGTGGACGGTTCATGCAATGTTAACGGAATTTCTTTCAATACTCAAGATTCTAACATTTATCAGAAACTTACTATCCCAATGTACTTACAAAGAGGTTTCTATGGGAAGACGACAAATCTCAACGTATGGTTTCGGTAGGAAGCCGCTACTAAGTGAACAGCAAACTAGCTTTTTCTCTAAACTACATGTTACAAATACGTTAGAAAATTAAGTATATCAACCCAGACCCCTAGTATGCCACCTGGATATCTTATACATGTTGTGTTCCCAATCAATAAACAATCTATATACCTCTTCGAAAAGAGCAGAATCACTCTCCATGACGGCGATCGCGGAGAGGGTGATAATAAGCAGCATTACAAGCGATGCAAAGGCCACCAGCTGCGCGTGACGCAGTAACGGATGACCTTCGGGCAGGCCACCTTTCCCGCCGAGCGCATCGTGACACTCCATTAACGTGTAGCCTGTCGCAGTAACAGCAACACCAACACCAACACCATAACATAAGTAAAAAATACATACAAACAGCAAAGTATATGTAGTAGTATGTCCCGCATGATTGAAAACGGGATTCGGCACGACAAACCATGCTATCTCTTATTAAATTCAATATCATGCCAAACGATTTTTTGGTATCTCGTGATAATCATAGTCGGGAAAGGCTGAATTAATGATGAACCAACGTGAAGACCCGCTCTCCTGGCTCCGACCATGACTAGTACTACCTGGATGCCCTCCATTTCCGCACGTTGATGCATATCATTACGATGCTGAAATTAATTGTTGTCAGCAATTGTTGCAAAATTCACACGCGTGTTTCTAACTACTTCTGCAGAATGTGCATGCGAAGAGCCTGCAGGGATTTGCCCCTTAGCTTTATACTAAACACGTAGTATTCCTGGTCATAGTTGAAGAAATGCTCACACAACGATTAATACACTCTTGGTAAATTCGTTATACCTGGATGTTCACTTAAGGGCGTTTCTGTAGGCTCGTAGATGTTTCCCGAGTCTTGGTAGCCTACGACGTGATGTTTACCAAGGACATCCCCGTTATGATCAAAATGCTGACCTGGTCCGATAGGGCCCGTTCCACTGCCAGCGTCACTTTGATGTCTCTGATGGGTTGGAGTTCCGTCAAGTGTCGGTGTTAAAATAGGTGGTTTGTTCGATCCCAGCGCGCCTGCGCCCTCCTCATCGTCAGGGTTCACCAACAAAGATCCGACGTCCGAGGTCCCGCTTCGAATAATCTCGGACTCGTCGTCCTAAATAATCAAGACCAATAAAAAAAGCTCTGTCAGCCTAACCAATTTTAGACCAAGCGCAGTTAATATACTCATACTTAAAATCTGATCGAACTACATAACTCACATATGTGAGTTATGTAGTTCGACTAGTGAGTAGCAGAGTAACACGCGAGTGGATAGTGGTATTGTTATTAGTAATATCGAAAATGTTTTTGCAACGGGTGTAACAGCACAAGTTCTTATTAAGCGTACATACACGCTTCAATTCAGCCTTCATATATAAAGTAAACTACGTGTGTGGAAAGAACCCCTATATACCTTGTAATGGGCGTGCTCCAACAGTGAAGCTGGATGGCAGCTCCTGTTTCGATTGAAATCGTCGAGAGCTTGGTTGACTTGATCGTCATCCACTGAAATCTGCGGCAGTCGCGTCTGAGCGGTCGTGGCCGATGGATGTCCTGGGTACAGAGACGCAAGTGAAGTTTCACGTTTCTTTAGGATCGACATCGCCCGTGACAATGTATTGCGCTTGGATGCCAACGGCGGAATACTCCTACAGATGTAGAAACGTACCCAAGATAAATTATGTAAATTTCTGAAACATCTGTGCAGCTCTGAATTGAAACTGTTCTGTATTTAGATACCAATGTAACCCTCATTGATAACAATGTAAAACCTTACTTGTACACATCAATATAAGCAGACGCTGTGTATCGAAATGAGATATATGCCATGCAAAATAAGGCTTAATATTTGCAATGAACATTAGAATTCGTATCAGAGGGCCGTTGTCATTTATATCGCAGCGGTCGTAGTCTACTCACGTGAAGTAGCACCGAATATCGTTGGCGCAAGCAAAAAGATGATGACAAGCGGCCTGCGAAGGACACCGAAATCCGATGACCTAAAGAAACACAGATTATATTAGCAACACTAGTATATACAAGCGCCATTTATATCTTGGCATAATACTATGTTAAAATTCCGAAAAATCCTCTAATTTTATGCTTGTAGCATAAAATTAGAGGATTATGGAGATTATATTACGAGTGCCTGTTACAATTGTGTTGTACATCTAGGTCCACTCTTTATTGCAATAGTTCGCGTATTTCCTGCCACTTAGACTGTTGCAAAATGTCCAGCTGTCAAGCCACTTTTGGGCTTTATATACGTATACGTACAAACTGTTACTGGTTAAAGAGTGATCACACCTGTTTTTTATTTGAGCCCGAAGTCATGACGTGTAGAATAAACATCTTGCCTTCGTAGTTAAATTTCACCAAATCGTCAAATCTGCCAAAAAGAAACAGAAAAAATAATAGCTTTATATACTTGTGTCAACGTTCGGACGAGAAACAAAAGTGTAGAAGAGGTTACCAAATCACCATTGTCATATAAAGGCATTCACTTTACGTTGGACATCGTTGATCACTACGGTAAGCAATTCAATACTATAAATATAAACATAGTAAAACTATAAAAAAGAAAATAGATCTCCTATAGTGCAGAGGCGACAAATGGTGGAAAATTGAAATCCATGAAGTTACGTTATAGACGCTGCTCCTAAATCAGCCAATTCCCAGACGTAACCATTACGATGAACCGAACTAAAGCTAGAAAATATAATTTTAATTATTATCATATAATTACTTAATGTGCTGGTCTCGTTTCCCTGCTCGAAATGTAAGAACTCCGAGGTGATTGACTCCAATGTAAAGTTGATTCTTGTGTTCGTCTTTGACCGGGTGCGGGTCTATGCCATAGCTTTCTAGGGTGGCCGCGCGCTGCAACCCATAGGACGTAATTATTACATTCTATGGTTTTGAAGGTCTATAAAAATAAAGCATCCTTCATATAGTTTAGATAAGTGATGTAGTTATTACTCAGTTGTATTCAGGCTGCAGTAGTAGGACTTTTGCACCAGAATTGGTTCACATGAAGCATAATAGTTGCCTATCTGTAATGAATGTACTTTTAGAAAAAGGTCCTGTGCTTCGGTAGCTGATATTCCTTTGAGTGTCTCATGGATCCGCTCGATGCGTGACTCGATCTCCTGAAAAAACATTTCACGGCCAATAATAAAATTCCGCTCTTTGCAAAATATACAAGTTAAAATATATAGTTTTAGCCTGTAAACGACCCCATACTCATCAGTTTAAATGCATTTTCACTCACCAAATATAAACGAGGCCAGCTTTCATCTGAGTGTACAAGTTTTTGCTATTAATTGACAAAAAAGCCGAAGCATTTCCGAAAGCGCAGAAGACGCCCTGTCTGTCGGCTTTGTTTTTCTGTCTGTGCCTAAATTTACATCATTCTTGCTGAAAAGCTAGGGAAACAATAATGTATTGTTTAACACTTGTAACGTACGCTGTGTGAGTTTTTGGGCAGAAGTCTACTGGTGCTGAATGTGTGCGCCCGTTGTCGGGGGTTATCCACGGAATCGGCAGGATTCCCATCGTTAACGGGATCATCCAAGCCGTCTTCGCTCGTCGTACCCCCAATCGCTAACGTATCCCAATCACCCAGCTCGGCCTAAGCGTAAATTAGGTTAACGTACAAGCACATAATTTTTCTCATTTAACATAACACTGCGCATATGCATCACATACACATGATGGACTTGGCTTATAAGATGTAATAGCATGTTTTACTTATAAGTATATTGGATCGGTCCAAAGGTAAGTAGTTAAGTTTGGGATTATGAATGTGTTAGCCATCGAACGACCTCACTGCTTGCAAAGCAAGCTCACCACCAAGGTTCATTCAGTCCTATACTGTATAAACTTTAGTATCACATTTAGTAATGATCTCACACCATACCTGTTTGACGTAGGCGACCATAAAGGCTGCCTCACTTTGGGTGCAATTAAGACGGCCGTGAGTTAGATCTCTCTTCAGTTGTAGATATACTTGATATCGGCATGCCTCTTCCTAGAACAGTTTCCAGGTTATAGAAAAGTTAGGATATTAGAAATGATCTTTACCTGACATCTGTATATGATTTCATACAAATTCGCTGTTTAGCCCTAATTGTCAACGTGTTATCTGCTTGACGAAACGTTTAATCGAGGAATCCTAAGTTACCGTAATAGCACACCCGAGACAGACCAGGGTTATGTGCCTAAGTATGAAACGATGTTATCAGTATGCAAAGCCGAGACACTACCTCTGCGTACCATAACTTGACAACAGTAGAAATACGTTCATAAGCGCAAAAGCTAATATAACACGTTGGTATTCCATTCGATTTTTCGTAATTTTCACGCCACGATAGGGCCACTATAGCCGGCAAAATAGTCTGCTGTTCCGAGCGCCACAGCTGCCTTTTTGTGGTCGTTGAGATATATGGCAGTCCTATAGAACGGGATCTGCTCATAATACACTTACTGCGCTCATCAAGGCAAAAGCTAGGACGAAACGAAGGCCGTAGGGTAAATAATGTCAAAAGAAGAAACAACAACAAACATCCTCGGTGAAAATAAGGGATGGACGCAGCGTTCAGAAATCGATGCAAAAAGAGTTTGCGTTCGATGCTTGTAAAGAAAATGCAATTGACTTATTGTTGAGTTAATCGTGCGAAGTTTTGCGTCCGGTTTCTGATTAAGCATTACATCAGACGGTTAGTTCCTGTCGACATAAGACGAAGGATGTTTACGTCCGGCTTTAAATTTAAATTTCTACACATACCTAAGATTTAGTGGACAAACACGTCAGCTTCGACGCCATTGCGGGGCCATGTGTCACATCGCTAGTAACGCTTATATAGGGAAACCTGTGCTTTTATGATTAAAATAACTGACAGAAGAAGCGCGATTTGTATTTGTGCATGAATATTATATGGCTTCCATTTACCTTGAGATTGAGTGGGTTCGGGGGATAGTACTTGACCCTAAAACAGAAAACGACATTTTTTATCCCCTTCACCTAGAATGACACATTTGGAAATATTAAGTTAATTTTTTTCGCAGCAATTAAGCTAATTTTCTTATTTTTATCTTACGGTATACACAATTAATTACTTATAATAATTTCATTTCGATTTGTATAATTTAAGCTGGATGAATTTCGATTTGTGATAAACCCATGTTGTTATTAAGAGTGGCGGTACCTACACCATTGTACAGTAAGAACATTGGAGATGGTGGCCGTTATACCGTATTTTGATAAGTCAACGTATACGCATAAAAACGTACCCTAAACACATAACCTGGACACAAACCTGTTTAAGGACGGGTTTACTGAGGTCGAGCCATCGCCGCTGGTTGTGAGAGTCGACATACCGTAGGCCAAACAGGTCCTTCTCCAGCAGTCCTATGCTCGAGCATACGAAGTCGAGGACGTACTGGCCCAAGCACATATGCTGATGAAAATAAACAATAACGGTCAGAAAATAATCACTAAGTGGCACGTTTTTATTTACTGACGTTAGTGGATCAATGTTTCGTGTCCAAACAATCTTAGTAATTTAGGAAGGTGACCGCACACTAAAAAGGCATGTCAAACTTCAATTTATGAAAACAAATAGGCATATATTACTATAGGATAAAACATAAATAGACTATAATATTATATTAGGCTCGGGGATGCGTACAGGGTGCATGTAGTTGAGACTAGGTAAGTTACAGCTTAACTATCGACGTGAGAAGATGCAAATAAGGCAATATATAACTTTGCATACAAAGATGAAGCAAAAATTGTGCCACTAATGCCATTGCCAACGATCTGCCAGCAGCTCACACATACGTTTTCGAGATTACACGTTCATCAGCGCTGGAATTGACAGAATAATGGTACTTGTAGCGATTCAGCGATAAGTGTTTGCCTATCGGAGCTTGGGATGTGTGAGCCTTAGAGTAGACGCATTTGCTAATGTCAGCCGTTTGATAAATGCTAACGTTGTTTCAGGCGTAAGGTTTAGATCTTATATTCTATTATGGTCCGGCTTGGCTAAATATCTAGGCTCGAGCTGGCTTTCATCTGGCAAGCTGATTCGAGATTCTGTGCGAAGACTGGGTCTCCTTCTGGCTGATGCATCATAAGCAAGTGCGTATTGAATCAACTAACGTCTCAGCAAATCAAGGGCGTTGAATCGCCCTTCTGCCGACATCACATACGCGGGTGTCAATCCAAAAAGGACCATGTTGCCGCAAACTCATCCATAGGGATACCACCAGTTACCGTACGGATATTAGAAACAATGCCGGCTCACTTTTTATCCAGGATCGGTTCCAGCGGTGAACTTACTTTTGCCTAAAACTAAAGACTTATCCCTACCGTAGACGTTACAAAATTGTACGTTTAGATTGTCCATCCCCCTATAAGAATTTTTTTCGCTCCTTCTCTTTTTGTATTTGACGTAAACCGCACAATCAAAATATCACAGAATATGCAGTACCAAATATTTATTATAGATAATATGGTGTTTTTCCACTTGAAATATATAAATAAAATGTCGCGAATAGGACGCGGCTGTCAATATGCCTACAATAAACTTGTAAACCTATAATAAAGTGTGCTAGACGAATTCTGCGTCCATCTTTCCTAGTATTGCTTCGCTCTCTCTCTCTCTCTCTCTCTCTCTCTCTCTCTCTCTCTTGATACCTGTACTTCTAAAGCTTCGAGCACTAACCCACTACCAATTCAATTAAATAAATTGATTCAAATAAGGTATTCTTAAATTTTAATTCACAAAAGAAACTAATTGAATGCTTGTGTTCGATAGGCGCTATGTAAAATAACAGGTGAATGGTGTCCGAGATACGCACTAGGAACTTCGAGAACAGCAAAGATATCTTACCGACCCGGTCCGTACATCTGTAGACAACCCAGCTACATATGCATTGATTCATATGGATCCAAAGCGAGTTTATTTTAAGAGTATCGTAAATAAGACTGCCAGAATAGACATAGTATGACGAGGAAATTACCCGTCAGTAATGCGCATTGGCCCAAAGCACGGGATGCTTCAGTAGAATGCTCAGTATCATCATTGACATGATACATAGTATATATTCGATCATATTCTCTTTTGGAAATAATACCATAGGAAAGTTATTATAGGAACACGAATAACATAACATTGATTTAGCAATATTTCCGACTCATGGATGACACGAACACTCGTTTTATTGAGCGCTACCAACTACTAATGGAATCGCTTATATTTCTAATAATAGCTAGAGGTTATTAAGTGTGTCTTCTAATAGAGTTCAGCTATTTGCCATTCTCTCATTGCGCCATCGTTCAGATTATCCAGCAGCCCCTGCAGGCGTGTACGTTTTGAATGAGGACATCAACTACTCCAGTTCATTATTTCATTTCGGCATCCGAAACCTAACTTCGACATTCGTGACCTGCTAACATGCCAACCCGCTGCTAAAGGCTAACATCTGCCTCGATGCCACAGCTACTTCGCGTCGTGGCTATAATTAGACTAGAAAAAGAATAAGGGAATCCGAGTCCCGTGAGGGATCGAAAGTGTCCCCTAAAACACTATTCAACTAAAACGATTCAGTTAACGATAAGTTCAGCCGAAACGATTGTATCATTCGTGTTTTCAAGACCTTCGTCAATCTTGAGAAAAAAAAAATCTTAAAGAAGAAAAGTAAGATTTTCCTTGCTTAAATATTCTTTGAACAGTAGGTCCACTTTATTGGGCGAAAAGTTAGTTTTGTCCAAGCAAAGCAACTTATCATTCAAGTTGGCAATTCTGCAATAAGTTTTATCACAAGAGTCGTCATCACGCTCCATCGCCAGTGTGAGTGCGGATATGAACATGCAGCACAGAACAACTTCCTAATATGATCAATTGGAGCAAATGCTGAATAGCAAAGCCCCTTTGTTTTTTATCTATTTTTTCAACCCATTCAAAAGCCGTGTGCAGTTTAGCATCTTGCTCAGATATAAGTCCCAACTGTTTTGCTAGAAACGTGGATTTTGCCGAAAGCGTTCACCTTATGCGTGCGATAGAAGGGTGACCAGTATAGGATGACGTGTCCAAAATTAGACAACGCATCCGAATCTGATTTGAATGCAAGCAACAGATTTTACAGTCAGAATTGCTTTTCTGGATTAGACATTACTCAGCGAATCTGTCTCTGTAAGACTACGCATAATTTACGAGAACATGCTCTGTTGTCTAAATAATGAAGCTTTCACAATGAGGATTTCAAAAACAGTGAACATTTACACTTGTCTCGGCAACACCTCAATAGCCATGCTGCAGCGGGATGAGTTTTACCAGATTTCTGTAGTTCTTTGTGTTATAATATCAATTGAGCCATTGAGCACTATCAAAAAATACTATTATGACCTTACAGAGGACACGGGTATCTAGTTAGTTAATTTTTTTGATTAACGTTTTTTCGATAGTAGCGTGTAAAACAATTCTGTATTTGAGATCTTTCCAAACTTACTTAGCCATAAACTCTCATAATTTTTTTTTTATTTAATAGTTTTCGTAATTGAAACATTCATATAGAATACATGACTGTTGTCCGATAAGTAGTGCTACCGAATAAAAATGTGCGATACAGGTATGTTGTAAAGTCCCATTTTTAGATAGTGTTTGTTATAGTTGTAAACCCACAGCCGTGGTAAAAGTAAACTAAGTGCAATATACGAGATACATACACTTATATAAACGTGACGTTTTAAAGCGTTTCTCTATGATGCTTCCTGCACGAGTATGCATCCGCAAGCCCTCATCCGAAATTTAATATGCGTATCTCGTCTGTGATGGTTGTCTAGCTCAGCCATGGGTGAACGACAGGCTTACGAAAGGTCGGGAGCCTCGGGGTTTTGTTTGACTGGGTGGAGCAAACAATATATACTAGTTGTATGTTATCGTAATTAATGTTCTGTGGCGGTACCGTTGCAACTAGACCCCTTCCCCCGTAGAACGTTTCGAACTCTATTCCGTTGCCTCAAGTCAGCGATTGCATATGCAAGAAGTTTTCAAAGATCAGATTTACACATCTTTGACATTATCTCCACCGACTAGGATCTAACGTACTACCAGAAAAAAGTTTATCAAACCATCAAAGAATGTGGATAATTTCTTTATACCTAGAAGACCCTTCTCTTCCAAAATATCCCTTTTTTGTGATCAACATGAACTAAAAATACGGGAATTTACGAACTTCTGCCTTAGTTTTCTAGTAAGTTATGATTCCAGAGCGAAGTTACCTAGCTTGGATCTCTATTTATGTTATTCGCATTCCAACAAGTGGTAATTTATAGCTTTAGATTTTCCAGTTTCTCTCAATAGAACCTAAAGGTACTAAATCATGGATGTGTCTACTTGTCACCCACCGCGCCTATATTTAAATTAATGTTTTTTTTGTGTCGCCCTGCTGAATGTAGCAGACGAGTTGTTATCATAGTTGACTTCGGCTGGAAACCGTATTTCTGTTACGAACAGTACATTCAAAAGCCAAAAAGGTTTTTAAAAATACTTTGTTGTCGATAGTACTACAGTTGGTAATGCTGTTACCTGACCGAGTGTTCCCCATTTAGCCAACAATAGCTCTCAGTCGGCGATAATAAGCTTAACGGCTTAACGGCTAAGCGGACGTTCCACGACAGTTTCTTGAGCAGTATCTGTCTAGGAAAATGCAATAGACATAGTGGCTTCTGGTCGGAACAACCTACTTCGTTTGATATAATATTTGAACACAACATAGGTGTATTTCGTCACCGAAAATCTGACCCACCAATAAAAAATTGGCTCGACCAGTGGAAAAAAATACTTAAGTATATCTGACGTCTTATCTTTTTTATCATTGTATATACATATTATGTTATACAACGCTCACAATGGGTCTGGTGGCCCCGATACAGTGTGAAGAAAATGGGTCCGTCTTAGAAGGTTAAGTGGGGCCCCATGGGACGTCGTTCACAAACTGCCATATTCATTGGGAAATATTTTGATCTTATAGAAGTTACTTTAGACTACTTCACAACGGGTAAATTACAAGCGATATTTTTCTAACTTCTAATTAATATATGAAAAATGCCATCTTATGATATGTCGCTGATTAAGCAGTCAATCCTAGTTAACCTTTAGCGATTCCTTGTTTCCCCATAAATACAACACCGTGTCTTGATAATCCATATATATATATATAAGAAGGAAACGTTCCAATTATGTAGTAGCTAACATTTCAAAAGGTTATCCATATACCGCGTCACTTATTTACGTTTGATCTATAAAAGCTTTGAATATTTCACATAAGCGTATACACGTTTGTGTAAGAATAAGCAGAATATCTATATATATTCCGAATGGTTGATAATTACCGTACCATTGTCCCATTACACGGCGATATCACACACGTACACACTTTAACTATAGTTAAAAGGGCTTCTTCAGTGTGTGCCTCTAGATCAATCATCTAAGGACGCTGAGTCATAGCCTATAGACAGTCTTGTCTAGGGCAACAAAAGCCAGGTGCGTCAGGCTCAACAAGGCCGCCTTCGTCAGGCTCGTTGAGTATAAACTAATTGAGCAATAAAGTATTTTGTGTTGATTTTCATAAAGTGTATTAAAGTGTACATACATTAATGTACGTATATCTTAGCACAGAGTAGCACAGAGAGAGCACAAAGTTTGGATGGTTGGCAGTTCATCAAAATATGAATTTAAGAAAAGGCCGGTCTTATGGCGCTAGATAACTAAGCTAGATAACAAACCCAAAGACAGCAATTGCTTCGATTACTTATTACTCTCGACTACTCGTGCGCCTTTCAAGAACGTTGAAAAATTCTGGTTACAATTCTGGTAGCCAGTATGGAGCTGGTACGGAGCATACTCTCATTAGTTTTGCACCCTATTCTGTATAAAATAGCCGAAAATATTTACAGTGATGGCCCTTGAATATTATGCTTTGAATAACTTGGCTGTGTCCGTGTCACAGTAGCAACTCGCTAGTTCTGCAATCCTTCGCTTTTTGTTTGAAAAAAATCGACAGCATCTTCGTGGAAGAACGTGAATTGAATCATCTTCCTAACGCTCTACGCTGCACAAATCGACCCACGAAGTACTTTAGAATATGGAACTAAATGACTTCAGTCGGCTATTGGCGAGAGCGTACGCCATATGTTGTATAAGCCTAACATGTAGGATACAATATAGGATAAACCTTTCAAAATAATTCGTCTATAAAGATCGGACATTTCCAAATAACGCAATTGGCCTTTTCATACCGAGCTATAGTGACATACAGGTTTATAATGGGAATTAATCCCATGTGCATTGGTAGCCTATCATGGCAAACAACAAAAGGATACAAAAACTGGCATTATTGGTAAAACGATCTCTATTGCCTTTGCCTTGGGGTGAAGATTGTAGCCAGCGCAACACATGCGACAGGGATCAGCGAATTCTTGAAAGTGTGAAATATACCGGTCAACATTCTTCTTGCTCGGCAATTCGTGAAGCAAAAAATGTTTATCTTATTGCACGAAGACGATTAAATATGTTTGACACCCTAACGGAGTACGAACGGATAGAAGACGCGTAAGTGCTCGATTTTTTTACTACCAGTGATATTGACAAACAGAAGCTTCATGATTAGAACATGCGCAACCTTTGAGTCAACTCTAAGCGCTCAGGAGCGAAGCTGAAATCAAGATTCATTCATAGCTGCGTAAAACGGGTTCAAAGCCTCTCCGATATCAATGACGTACATGTGGCTAACAAGGACCGTATAAATCAAATATTACTCCGTCACCTTTTCTGATTGCTCGATTTTTGGGTGCCAGGACTGCCTCACCGCTTCCGGTTCTTGAAGCTTTTAGAGCTTTAATTTTGAGGGCTATGAGCTACGCGCACTCGGCCTCATAGCCGCGCATTCCGCTGCGGATGTCCAGGTTCAGACACGCGACCCATGGACTCTTGCAATAATGACTGATATCAGCTTTGCTACTGCATCATCTAGCACCGAAACCGTATTACTCCGCTATTACACGTCGATAATAACCCTCTAATCAGGGTAAGCATTTGATTTCCTTTTCAGACAAAACAATCCGTGTGCTTTCCCAAGGAGCTAGATATGCCCAAAGACCATTCTCTTTAAAGCGGTGACAAAAAATAAAGTACCTGTTTAAATGCTCTGAAGCATTATATATCATACCCATTTTTCGGTAATAAATATCGTCGATTCAATAAAAAACATAATTAATTTCAACTATTTTGCATTTACCTTGGAAAAAATTGAGTATCGTCATATTGTTTGTCTTGAACTGGTTCTAAAAAATTAGAAGAACAAGCAGAAATAAATAGGTAATATGGAAACGATGTTTTTCCCTTAAGAAAACATCTTATTATTTCAGCTTTGAGTTCATGAAAAACAATAATTAAAAAATTAACTTCCTTTACCATCAGTATCGTAGGAACGAAAAGGGGGCTACATTTAAAAAACTACTTACTCTGTAAAGCTACTATCTGCACCTAAACTACCTAGTAGCTATAGTTGAGGTGGATTGGCTTATTGTCGCCTCCGAGCCCATCTCATCTATGAATCCTTGTATTCCAGCATCCTCGGGAGTTTTCCGTGATCGTTTGAAATTGCAGCTCAACAATGAGTGGAGAACAAATTATGTTCAGGCAAGCTTAAAGGCACAGAGGTAAATAGAGTGGCTGTTCTTTGTGTCAAAAAGCTTCCCAGCGATTCAAATGACTGATGCAATCGTCTGTACTGTCCATAACGAATACAAAAAAAAAATAGACAAATTATACTCGACTACGAAGAGACACTGCCCGCTAGATATTTCAGTAGTGTTTATGTTTGTCGCCGTACACTATCACGATAGTGCAGTTTCGCGATTCAAAAGCGATAGAATTTGTAACAATTATAGCCCGTATTGATCAAGAAATTTTTCGAATAGTTTATATTTAATCTGAGATCATTACTAAGGCGTATTGACATGTCTATCACGTTATTACAGAAAGCTTTTTACATTATAATATACTGCTGAAAATTTGCAATCTTTCGACGGGGTTGATCATGCGCAATTGGATTTACCACCGAACAAATTGAGTGCTAAACCGTTATCAATGGAAATGCGCTGTTCCTATTGTGCCTGTTTCTTGTCCTGATACGTACCTGAAAGTCACAATCGATGGGAGCCTCATCGTCATCGAGAAAGCGTACGCTACACCTGTATTCCTGCCGGTTAGCCTTCTTTGAACCAAAGCGGAACATGTTCACCAATCCAGTCTGACGGCTTATTTGTCAGATTAGGTTTTTTTGCTGGACTACTGCTAGCAAGTCCTTCAAGGAGATAATAACCTAGTGAGTGACTCCACTCCTAGCTTTAATCTCCTGCAGTAATGGGTTGTATTATGGTGTGAGTCCCTTTCAAGCCTTAGGCGACTAGGGCATCTTTTAAAGGTGTCACATTGTTTTGTGCTAGAGTTTGCCATACAGAAGTATCCTTGAGTCCTGATGGTACCGTATAGCGTTCCAGGCCTGCTCACTGTTGATCTGTTCCTTCGAGCTGGCTTATATGCATTTTCCAAATTTGTTCACGGTCGGGATCTAAGCGTTGATTTGACAAACAGAAATTGTTGTAATAATATTCCTCTATGGTCACAGGTAGATTTAATTAGCGTACATGCAAAAATCAGCTTACAGAATGCCAACTTATATCCTATTCGCGCAGGCGACTATAGCCGGCTCTCTAGAATTCTATTGCAGAAGATTCAACTAATTTCAAATCGTTGCTACCTGTTTGTTGAGTGTTTCATTTTGTCATCCTTTTTTTTTAAACTTTTCTACAATGCCAAAAATGATTTTTTTCTAGTTGTCGAATTTTTGGGAGTGCCACCTTTTTGTTATTGTGTGAATTCGATTTCTTCTTTATACAGTATGAAAAAAGTAACATCTAAGTTTAACACACGTTCAACAGGTTTTCCACTAGGGTCTAACTGAACATCTGAAATTTTTGGGCTTCCGGTTGTGCACAGACTATTTTTACTACCCTGATCGACTAATGTCGGTAAATAACGTAGCTATGGAGCCAACTAACTATGATCTCAATGAGACACGTTCAGTGCACAGAGGCTGAATCCATTCCATTCTGTCGATAATGATGCTATAAATCAGTTTGTCCTACGAACCGCCGGAGGCGATACTTAAGCCATAACAGGCTTCGACGGAAGTGTAATTTCAAAAGAAAAACGTATGCTTATTTGTAAGAAATCGTGCACACAGACATCTGCTATAAATTGCTGTGGTTCTGATTATTGGTTTTCAACGCGACGATCTGTATAAACTTTGCACTGCGTGAATACTGAAACAGGCAGTTGCGCCACTTCATTGCGCTGTTTGAAAAGCCAAGTGGCTATAGTTAGCGCGATAAGAATTATATGTGGTACACCTGTACGACGAACATCTTATAAGCCGCCAAATTTGAACTTTCGATTTAGCTCTATATATATATATATATATATATATATATATATATATATATATATATATGTATGTATGTAGCTAACGTGAAGTGCCCTCAAATATTAGAACCAGCTTGCTTGCAATTGAGGATCCACTGGCGAACCACGACTCTCTAATGCGATTGTAGCAGAAATAGGCATTTAAAGAAGCACAGTAAATTGATTGTAGAAGTTTCCACAATGTTCCATGTACAATCCAGTAGAGTACTTGTACGTGTTGCGTTCGTGTCCGCTTCCTTCAATTGATGCTATTATCTTTTGCCGTCGAAACACAAAAGCGTTTCGGTGATTGTTGTCTGATAGCGTGACATCATTCGAGGCGGTTGCGTCCCACGCAGGGATATACGTACAAGGTAAATAAAGTCATCTTGTTTATAGTATGCGCTAGTTTGAGGCGATTTTTCGCCAATCTCTTTGCACAGCTTCGTGATATATCTTGCAATAGCCTACGTTTCTCAGTAATAGATATCTGATAGTTAATTAAGCGCAGTTTTGGTTTTTTCCTTACTCCGCGAAGAGACCGATTCCAAGAGCTTTTTTTGTTTTTGTTGCTAATCGCTAAGCGATAGATAACGACACTGTGTACGTGGACAACAACGTGTATCCGGACAGTGTATTGCGTGCACTCGCGTAGGTCAAGACGTGCAGATTGTACTCTTGTTTTTTACTCTTGTTGTTATTAGAACTGTCTTCCTTTTCGTCTCTTCGACGCAATGTTTCTTTGATGCTGATCGGTGGTGGTGCACGGAGTGAATACAACGGTTTCCTAGAACGATTCAGGGCGGACTGGGTGGTGCACGTATATACACACAGACACACGCCACATTGGAAGAATGGCCTCCCCTGTCATCGAGTGGGGATTTGTCGAATCTGGAGTACCCTTTCACTCAGATCTCACTCGCTACTAGAAGCAACACAGCCCGACGGCAGTCCCAGCAAGGTGGGCGGCGGTGCTCACTCGTACATGGTCCGTGGGAGGGGCGGAGTGGTGGTAAGGGACAGGCTACTGTAACAGAAGGAGAAGGGCAACACAACGCGGCAGAGACAGCAGTCTGTGCTTGAAGGAGCCCTCTGTGATATTAGCCACTTACAGCGAGGCTGCGATGGCAGCGGCAAGTACGTGAAATGGACAATCTTCCTAGTTGACGTTTCATCTGCCAGTTTATCTATCGACTTATAAATGTCGTTTTCTCATTTCATTTTTCGCTAACAACAGTGAAACGACAATAAAACGACAATCTAACAAGAAACAAAAAATTCACTTCTGCGCTGTCCTGGCTTTTGAGCGCCGATAGCTGCGTCAACTCGAGCTACCCTCGTACTTCAGCAGAAGCAGCACCAACAACACCATCACCAACGACGACAGTAAAGACGGTGCCGCCCTGGACCGCCTTCCCCTAGCCTTGTCGTACGAGCTACCGTCGATCTGTGAAGAGCAAGCGAAACTCTCCTCCACTTGAAGGAGATCTTTCAGCTGAAGGCTCTTAGCTTCAAGACTCTCAAACAGGTTCACACTTTGACGGGGGCTTGCGGCCTGCCATGGGGAGAGGGGACTACGAACGAAACAACAACAAAAACGATTTCTGAGAATTGCCGATAATGTGAACAACAACAACGCAGCGTGCAATCACGCGAGCGCGCGGTACGGGGGAAGGGGAACGAATACGTTCTCTTTCCCAAGTGTACGAATGCGCAGGTAAAAACGGACTCACGGATAGCGGAGACACTGAAATACATACACGTAGGTAGACAAATAGACAGACAAAAGGACACTTACTAGTAAGTTGTTGCACTAGGCGCGCTTCTATCCTAGGAAACGATACTGACGGCGGCAACGATGGGAACGCTGATGACGGTGCTGCAGCTGCTGCTGCTAAGCTACAATGAAAAGCGTTGGCGCTACCGTCGCTCTAAGTGTTGTTTCCTTCATTAACCGCTGCGAGGGACAAAATAGAGAGAAAGGGTGAAGAAAGGGCCTTAACTTTATCTGCTGGCAGCGGGAGCACCGGCGGACGCAGCGGACCCAGCGGCAATTGCCAGACTACCCAGTACCGTCAAATCGCAGCAACATACCACGTCTCCTAATCACCCACAACTATAGTAATGACGACCAGTCGACCGAGTACTTTGGAGCTGTTGTTCATTGGCGCTAGATTAAAGCTGCGCGCGTCAACCAGCGAAGACTTCTCAGGAGCTCACGAACCGATACACACGACGTCACACCGAAAAAAGAAGGGTCATTTGAGTATATGAATAGGGGACAGACCAACAAAACCTAGGAGCGATTAGCTACCACGACTGTTATTTCGGACATTCGGACAAAGAACAGCACGGTCATTTCAAGGTTGTGCGAATAAAATAAAAGCGACATGCATAAGTATAGCGGAACCTACGTTTGGGAAGCGAAAAAGGATACAGTTCTCAATTTGATGTACTTCATTGCTGTGGACGAAAATTCCTCGTATGTGTGCTGTAATAGGATATAATTTTTGGTAATATTATACTCTCCTTATAATATTATACTACATCATGCAAGATTATACTCTGTGATAGAGTTTAATAATGATGTTTTATCTAAATCAGTCAGCGAAATTGCTGAAGGAGCAGTGTCTTTCATGATGACTACTGCATAAAGCAGCAACTAAATGGAGAATTGTGTTGGGTCTTGCTAGTGCCGATTATAGTGAAGGTCATCCCTAATTTCAGGGAAAGCTTCATCGGCCGGGTGTTGCTGTACACTGGTAGAGCGTAAACACACAACAAAACCTGTGAGAAAAAGAGGTCCTTAATCATCTGAATGGAACCATGCGACCATGCACGCCCAGCCTATCGATAATATTCTTTGCTAAATAAACGACTAACAAGGCTGTAGTGGACTATCGGATTCCTCGAAAGAAAAGTAAGGGTAACCAAAAATTCAGTAACTCCTGAAGGAGCGTCGCGAGCGACCGAACGAATGTATCTGTAGTTGCAATATCTGTATACCGACTGCATGCGCAAAGCCGTGGGCAATTGATTCAGTGACAGTCGGCCTCAAGGAACGACCCTGGACGACAGCTGCCGTCGAAAAACAGGAACAACAACAACAACTCAAGTTGTCGATTCTAAAACATCAGGCTTTTCGTTCGACCCTATATTAACTTATTTTTTAATTAATAAAATTAATTAAATTGTTGCAGACGGTTGGTCTCTTCCGGCACAAAATGAAGTATATCCAGCTTTACATTTCATCCACTCCATACGTCTCTAAGTTTAGCAGGCAAAGACGTTATCGCACGGGGTTTGAATCTTTTATTTTACCGGAATTATTCCCTACGGTGGATTTAAGCTATGTCGCTACGGCTGTTGCCAGAATTTGCAGGTATCTTAGCGTTAAAACCTGGAGATGCTGCTATCTGACTGGTATTTAGCCATCATCGGGCAAACTTCAACTCAATATAATACGAACGAAACCAAAAATTCTTAAACTTTTTTTAAACCAAAAATTCTTAAACGATTTTTTATTTTACGACAACACAGTGCCTTCCTGGCTAGTTTACTGGTGTTTACTGCTGCATCAGCCCGTCACGTCTCAAATATATTTCGTATGATGAACCTTCTGGGCCGTTTGTGTGTTCTTTCACGCCTTACATAACATGGTGATTAGTCATGGGTTTGGATTCTTTACTCCATCTTGGGTCATTAACGATTTTACAGTATTTTTGTTTTTTCGCCAACCTGCCACGATCAATTGTCTCGATTTTCTCTAGATATGCGTCACGCTCAAAAAACGTAAAATTAACTCAAAGGGCACACTTCGTCTTGCATGAACTGTTAACAAACAGATGACATTGTACTAGCGCTATAGTTGTTGCAGCTTTTGTTTCTTAATGTTGTGTAATTATGCCTAATACCATAAAGCATCGATAGTCCCCACGCAGTTTTCTTGCTAAAACTGGTATGTCTCTAGCTATGAAAACCCGTTCGCGGTTACGCGAATCATCTGGAAACAGGGGAAATAGCTGGAAAATGAATCGGTTTCTAGTTTTACTTTCGCCAGATACACGAAGATCGACAAATATCATCCAGCTTTTCATTAATTTCGTCACCGAACTAGCAACCAATGACAAAAAGACCGATTATTCGTGTTTTTTTTTTTTAGAATATGATGATTATATTGACGTTCTACATTGATAGAGGAATCTCATGGCCTAGTCAAGAAATGCTATCGTATACAGAATTTTGTTTGGAGCAAATTCTAACGAAAATAAATATATTAATGGCACTTTATTTTTGCATGTTCAACATGTATTACGATACTGAAGATGGATAATTACATCGACTATATTAGCATGTTATAACAGATACGTCTAATAGTAAAGATCATGCGCTAGTTAAAACACCGAAGACATTACGGAGCTACCATTGATTATTCATTCCGAACACACAGTTGTCCACTGACACCACCCTGGTCATCCGGCTTAAACTGGAACTTTAAAATGAAATTATTCATGCCGCTAAGCCAAATGTCGCTTTGAGATGAATTGTTCCTGAATCGTTACCTTCTGCGAATATCTTCTGCCGTTCAAACAAGAACGTTCTACTTCTATAACATGAAAATACTGTCTTTTTTTCCGATGACTGCTAAAATATGCATAATATGCTCTTTTTTCTGAGATAGCTGGATTTTTAAAGATCAATATAGCGTCTGACTCATGGATTCCTTTGTCTGGAAGTTCAGAGTTTAGAACTCGAATAACGTAAACATATATATGTGAAGGACAAATTACATAGAAGGAGATCAGCAATTTACCGCGGATATAAGCATCATCTCAGTTAACTAATAATTTGCCATCGGCTGAAGTGGGCTAGGCGCTTCCTGTATTCATTCAAATCGACATCATTCAAAATACCGCGAGGAGTGCCTTCAGTAGATAGAGCATGCATTGATCTTCGAGTTTGCTTACACACACAGAATTGAGATCAGTGAATGATTGTCATATCATTAGGACGTACATGATTGCACTCAAATACACTTCGGGCTTATTCTAATTACCAACTGCTCAAATATCGCCGAAAAATAATATAGAAGTTAGTTTTAAAGCCTCACTTTAGTCAGGCCCATATTTGTTGAAACGTGTCGTTTTTAATACAATGCTATCAAAGAAATATGCCTTTGTCGTGCTAATATCTGGAAGGGGAAATGGGTACCGCCTTCGTGGCTATTTGAATAGCGCGGTCCTTTCCCCACCCAGACAAAGATCAACCGGCTTCATGTGTCCTGTGTTATCGTGGAAGTCACGCATAAATACCAAGAAGAAATGAACATGAGTGCAATTCACGGCCGACCAACCAATTTTTTTCATCGATTCATATGATATTTTCTGGGCAGGAAATAACTCTGCATAGGTGCTACCCAGTTTTTAGTGGCCTTCTGTCACGAATCACAAACGAACTTCTTTGCTGAATCAGACCTTTGCATACGGTCTGTTCAGATATTTTGATAAAGATGGTGTGTTGGTAGAGTACAGATGAGTGTTTCTGTTTCGTTCGGGACCAGTGAAGACGTTTATTACTGGTACTTTAGAATCTGTCTTGGCCGCATAGCATTGAGAACATAAGAGAGGTGAGCGATGTTGCGGACATTGAGCGATCCGTTCTGTCGAAGAGGCAGTTCACGTATACTGCAAGCCAGCATCACGAATCCGCAGATCGTCCCCGGTTTCATTCGAGACTATAACAATTACAAAACAAGTGGAGAAATGGCAAAATTGAAGCCGCCGAGCCCTGCCACTTTGTTTTACAATGAGCCTAAATGGCCAAAGGTTTGTTGTCAAGCCAGTCTTACAGATAAGTAAAACGATAAAGCTAACTTTCACGGAATTGACTTAACGGTTTGTGTTAGATTCAATTTTCTCTTAATATCTGCCTGTGCAGATCAGACATAACTGTAGTATCAAACAAACTGCTGTAGACTTCCTAATAATTATTGCTGATTCACATACTGCCGAGGTTTCTACAGCTGAATTTTAAGATATCGACTTTGATAAATACGTGCCAGACGATGCTCACCTATATTAATTCTAGACTAGATTAGAAGATCTCATAGCGATGATCTTATATTACTATAACTCATGTAAAAAAGCAGAGGAAAGTAAACGTGTTTCAACAGTATGTTTGTATGTATGTACATAGCTTTAAAATGATCCATTGTCGCGTTTCTCATGCTCGTATCGAGCTCTTGATCTCGGAAACTTCTTGTTTTACCTAATATATCCATATGAGTGGAGTCGTAGCTCATTGGTTTATGTTGATAATTTACCAATAATAATAACGCCCACCATGTAGATCTGAACTGCAGCAATTATCGCATTTGAGTAAAATTACTATTTTCCAGTAATTAAGGAAAAAAATTTAGACTCGAAGCTCTATAAAGCCTTCGTTGGTTCAAATTTCTATCCAGAGCTATCTAAATACATGTGAAATATGTATATGGAAAGTGAGATATTTTATAATTGGGGACCGTAAATCTCATCCATTAAAAAAAGTTATATTTACATTTTGTATAAAAAAGTATTAATTTATAAGCTCTCATTTTTGATCGGCTGGCAGATGAGTTTATATGCATTAAAATAAAGCGAAATTGCCATATGTACGTCAATAACAGGGGACGTACGTGTGAACGAGAAAACATTAGAAACCTAATCTAACCTAACAGCTAACAGCTAACCTAACCTAACCTAACAGCTAACCTAATAATCAATTCCCTCACAAAATGTTTAGCCATCTTTTTCCTGACATATTCACATCATTTAAATACAGAACAGTTTCAACGTTTGTATATAATTTAAAATAATATTGTATACTATATGAATGTGATGAATGAATAAGTAGAGAAAAAATACATAATAAGCTTTGAAATTAAGCTGAAAATCTATCCCGTGTAGGTACTGGATATGACCCCAGATGCTAAGGAACGCCGCGAGCGGCAAAAGTTCTACGACGAAATCCAGAGTTACCCGACGGCCAACCATAAACTGTACATGATTAACACTGAACGAGGAAGACGGTTCGTTGATATCTTTCTGCCAATTGACGCTAAACATACATGTTACAAATATAATTTCTCCTTTATTTTACAGATTTTACAGATTGACATTGAACGATTTAGTATGTCTTATGAGCCTAAGGATCAGCACTAAATGGTTAAATAACTATTCCTAAGCTAAACTTGCAAAATTACGTATTTTCAGATCAGTATTTTATAATCCGCCTCAACCGGGCTACAATGCACTGGAAAGCTATCAATACGCGACGCGAACAGCGTATAAATCAGAACCAGAAACAGAAGAACTACCCGAGGTAAAATTTTGTTTTCATACTTCATAACTGCCATGCATTAAGAAACTTTAAAATGCCCCTCAGAGAATAGATAGTATATCAATTCTCTGAGGGGCATTCTAACTCCAATACTAAAGATTATACTGATTCTATATTTAAAGGTTTCGTGCAAAAGGGCTTGATTCAGTTTCAGTGTACACTGCTACAGGAAACTAGAAAGGTGACATTTTTTTAATGTAGACTAAAAATGCAGTTTAAACCTACTATTAGGTTTCTTCTAAAACAAACAAGTTATTTTTTTTTAATTTGTTTCATATAAAAAGTAATTTTCTTAAATATTTTAACTTAGGAATACCTATTTTTCCTCGTGAAAAATATATAAAAAGAGAAAGAGGGTGCATCGCATACCTTATTGCTACGTATACTAATCGATTTTGTGTCACATAAAATGTGAAGCTTACATATCTCATATAAGGCCAACCTATATGAATATATAAGCCCTGTGCTTGCGCTTCTCTACGTATTTTTTTTTCTGCTGCTCAGGTAAGCAGCGATATTCTCTCTGCCGTTGAAGAAATCATTGTAGCGCAGAGTTCAGCCTTCGATTCTCGATCGAAAATGAATGACATTCTTGAGCCAGCCCCTATCCCAATAACTTCGACGAACTTTCCTGGTACGTATCGTAAATCAGACCTTCTTGACTGGAACACTATAAGATGGTGAAGTTATTGTTTCTGAGTCTTCTAATGGTTGGTAATGCCAGTCTGGCTACAAAATGTTATGTATGCCTATATATCCGCTCAAATACAGCCCTATATTTCCATTTCTGAGTTTCTGTATGTACCGTTCGGTCCCGTTGTTTGATATTTACAAAAGCTATTGTAAACAAGGACTTCAAAATTGGAAGCAAAATTACTTATTATAAGGTTAATCGGCGACATTGAAACGTTGCGTGGCTTCGAGGACGAGTGCGCGCACCTCGCGACTTTCGTAGTAGTAGTCAAATCCAGAGAGGCTCCAGAGTCGGAAGTTGTAAAACGCTGCGAGCATGAGGATTGCTCAAAGAAAGTGCGAAATAAATTAATCGGTCAAGACGTCGCTTTGTTAAATTCTAATGTACATCATTGACATTATCGTTACTGACCATTTTAGGTTCCTTTGAGGGTTATTCGTTTGAACCTTCTGCAGAAGTTTTTCATGAGCGGACACGAGCTCAGCATGTGATGATTGCGATTATCAACGCGCTTAGGTAAGCATGTACTACACTGTTCTCCATTGTGTCGCAGATCAGAGATCACACTAATTTTAGCATTGTTTTTTCTCTTTATTCATCGCACTTTTTTTTTCTTATTTTTGTTAAATCACTTATAGGTGCTTACTTGCGCTGTCGGACAATTTCACATTGGAGCAAGCTCGACTCGAGGCTTTTTGGGAACATCATCGCTATCGTACGAATAAAAAGGATATCGACCACTTTTCGCCCATGCTCCAATACGCCGGTCAAGCAGATCTCCTCGTAAGAGCAACTTATTACTTTTATTATTATTTTTTACATTTTGTTCAGAAGGAATTCAGGAAAAGTGCGTGGTGTACTTTGTTTAAGAATTACGGTGTTCTTAATAGGTAGGCTGGACGACACTTTGTGATTATACATTTCATTTCATTATACATGGCCAATGATTTTGTCTTTGCAGATTTCGACGCCAATCCCTCTAAAGCCACTTGTAGCAGCTGACTCGGAAGAAGTGTATTCTTTAGACTTTCCTCAGTATGATTATTATCCCGAAGTCCAGGGCTGGCAGGAAAAGGAACGACACTTGGTTAGCACGGTTGGTTACTGGCCGGAGTGTAGGAACTTCCCGCTGGTGATAGCTGATGACATGAACAAGGTTTGTAAGATATTTGACATTCCACTTAATAGCCTTATAACTGAAGAAAACGCGACCATTACTAGAAATTAACCAAGAGTGCGAGCAATAAAATCATGTAGGCTTCTCATGAATAAAAAAAATTCTTAGAATGCTATCAACTATAGTTCTCCGTAAATTGGAGAGAGAACGGCAAATCTTTTTCCAGAATTTTCATGATCTGTCGGAGGCCAAGCCTAGTGATAGTGTTAGACACAAACCTTTTAAACGTAAACATAAAATATTTATTATAATCCTTATTAATAATTTGTTAGATTTCTATATACTAGACATCGTTCCTCGAAGTTGGGTGTTCAAAAGTAAAGCACAGTAACGTGAAAATCGGTTCATTACTGTTGACGACTGGAAGAACCGTTTTCTTCTGGGTATCTACAAATCGAAACTATAAGTCACACCCTAATTGTTAAACGTTTATGATATTTACTACAGGTACTTACGACTACTGGGGACCCATCCCTGTCAACTGAGTCGTTTCAGTCGTCAGAACGACGCAATCGTTTGTTGGCTGCACACGGTCTTTTGTCAAATTTCGCCTGCGCAGTTGCGACAGCTTATACTCATGGTTTCACACTATATCATGAAGTATGTTTGAGCTACGGTTAATAATGTGTTTTACAAGGCTGTACAAAAAGTACTGTAAAAATTATTCAACACGATCGCTATTAATCGATGAGTAATCTAGAATAATTATTCTGATAAGAAGAATAGAATAAACTATCTTAGTCTGATAATGAATTAGCTTCTTCGAGATTGAACGGAAGCCTAGCCGATAACTCGGTTCTGTTTCGTTCTTCAGATAACGTACCCGATTGTCTCACAATGCATCATATCCGATGGCCAGCAATGGCATTTTTCACGGCTACAACTGAATACGTTGGCCTTTGGTGCAGATTTCAATCAAGATCGCCAAAACCTTGCGTGGAGCTCTAACGAGATGAAACTTTATGATACTGTAGAAGATGGAAAAGTTAAAGGTTCGAAAACTTTAGTGACTTTAAACAAATTATTAACTATACATTATTTAGAGGGAGAACGATGATGTATACAAGTCAAAAATGCGTTCAGGATATTTGGCACGTTAGAGTTTTAATAGTGTTTTTTGGTCACAAAATTTGCCTGTTTCGAACAGAATAATTAGGCACTTTTTTGTTTTGTAAATATATATTTAAATCGCAAGATGTATTATGGAAAAATTGTCAGAAATGGTCAATAAGTAGTCAGCTTAGACAGCTGCTGGCATCTTAAGCAGACGTCTTTTTTAGGATAGCACTTGATTGATCTCTTCTTTTAAACTGCACAGTAGTATCTAAGTATGTAACTGCCATATTGTACGGAACGTCACCATCGTTAACGTCAGACTTCGGTTCGTTCGTTAAAAAGTGCCAAATATTTTTGCGTTTTTTGTTAGATAGCTCGCCTGCGTTTTCGAATAGAACAGCATATATTGATAATAATAATAACCTTATTACTATTATCATAACTATAACAATAATGGTAGTTACCACCTCTGCATCTACGTCTCATGTTGTAGGCGAAAATAAAGAGCTATATTACTTCCTTATAATCTGTAGGTTTAAATCAGAACGTGATCGCGAAAATTATTGCCACATTAACGGCAACTCGGGAGCCCATTGAAAATCCATCTCCCTATGTGGATCTTGACGCCGAAAAGGAATTCCTTGACAGAGGGACCCGCTGCTGGAGGCACATGGCCTCCCGAAGGTAAGCCTAAAAAGCCAAGAGTAAAGATTTCGTCTTTGCGGATGTGTGCCAATGGAAGATAAATTTAGGGTGTCTAAATTGATTGCGTTGCTAGTTGTATATCGCGTGACAGATTATGACAACCTCTAATAGTGACATATAAAATTTGACTGCTTTTTCAAATCGAACCTTTATAACAGATTCAACTTGGGCGAATACCTAGAGAAAGAAATTCCGATGTGGGCAAAGATCTACAAGATGCATCCCGACGCCCTGCCGTCACCTCATCTCAAATGGGAGCGTCAGAAATATTTGCACATGCGCCAGGTAATCTTAGGATAAAGTCTTGATTTCCTAAATGAGATTGATCCATGACGGAGCGAAAAAAAGTAGTTGGAGAACTGTTTATCTTTATTATCATTATACGGGTTGCTTTAATGATGCTACGTGTGGTTCGCCCAAAACATTAGCTGGAATTGTCTATTAAAATCATACTACAGAACAGCGTAATCGTTATGTGCAGATTCCAGTAGTATACCATAAGCGCAACGCTGGATACTTCGGACGAATGCATAGCCTTTTTTACTAGCAGATATGCTTGTTACTTTTTTTACATGCCCGCATTTCACAAGTAAACTATATTCCAGCGTTTCTTCCATGTGTCATTTCTTTTCAAGAAATATCGATAGCCATTATATAAATATGTGATTGCGCAGCGCCTTCAATTTGTACATTCTTATAGTATATACTCTAATCTATTTTAGGTTAGGATATACAACCGCTGTTTCTCTAATATTTACAGTTATCATGCTCCTCTAGGTGAACATTTCTAGTTAATTTTATTAGCTCTCCACATTACTAGTCGTATTTCTATTTCAAAGTTAAATTATTATACACTTTGAACGAAATAACAATGCATTCTAGCTTTATCAATCCTATGTAAAATTCTGTCTTGTGTAATTGTAGTACAACAAGAAGATTCTTGATATGGAAATGAAGGTCCTCTCAGATGCTCGCAAACAGAAGAGACGGGAACGTCTTCTGTATGGCCTTCATCTCAAGTCTGCCTAAGGTTATCGTTTATGTAACATTAGCTCACGTCTACAACGAGAAAACAATGTATTTTTGAGGGCCATAGGAATGTGATCGCGGCGATGTTTCTACGCGTACTAAGTCTGAAGACATGACTGTTTTTGCTATCAATCAGGTACTTCGTTAATGATTGCGGCTACACCCAACTATGTGATACAGGAATGTTGTGTGACAAGGAAGTGGTGGTGATACATAATAGAAAAAAACATTAAATACATACCTTGAAGAGGCTTATGGTACAACGAGTTGATTACTAATTAGAAAATCGATTCTAACTATCTGTCAGTTTACGCAATCTTTATCTACGCAATTATCAAAAAGTGCAAACCTCCCTCCGCCTTAATTGATGTTAACAACCATTTTTGTCGCAGCGCTTTCCAATAGAGGATTTCGATCTTCTCTTTGGGTATAGTGGTATAAATCTGAAAAAACTTGCTGGTTAATTTGGTCGAATCTCTGTATACTGTCAGACTCAATAATGAGCTGAGAAAAATTGTTATCAAACTGTGCCATGTTCTACCATTGCAAAGCATCTAGATGAAGGTGTTGGTTGCGTAAATAGAGCAATAAAGGATGATGATTTTTAACGTTCGTGCTATTTCATAGAAATTTGTGTACTAGGATGTGTTGTCTTATCTTAGTGAAAGCAGCATTTAAAATTTTAATAAAGCTTAAACGATTGCGAAGCTTAAGCGAATAAAAAGGCATCCTGTGAATAAATTACCTTTATTATGCATTTTCTGTAATCTAAGCCTTATCCGCATTGTGACCAGAAAAATAAGAACAGGCAAAAGCAATCACACATAAATTAAATTTCATGTTTGCATTTATTTTTTTTTTCTTAGTTTTTGAATGTCTTCATAAACATCTTCCCACAGTGTAAGGTATAGAATGTCAGCACATGTATGTGTAGTCCGCATTTGAACGAGTTTTCAAGAACTCGTTACATGTCTTCTGTAGAATCGTGTTTTATTTTTGACGTTATCATAGCCAGTAAATTGTAGTATACGCTATACCTACGAAATAAATAAAATATCGATTTATAGTGTTCATTAGTTCAAAACCACTTGATGACAAAAAATAAAGGGTGACAGACACAGAGGCAGCTTGACCCAGTTATCACATTTGCTAGCTAATTTCGATATATGCACATACAGGGTAATACTAGAGAACGTGTTCTTGTTTATCGCAAAAACGGTGAAATAGTTTTAACATTTGGTAGAAATGCATTTTCTAAGTGCTTCTGCATATGAAGCCTTAAACTTCTAGTTTCCACATCAATTGATACTTCAACTTCGTTCAATTGTTGTCCGAATTAAGCTAAAACAGGTTATCAAAACTATCCTTCGATGTGTATAGTTTTTGCGCATTTAGATTACAACATGTGTTCGCTGTATAATTTCAATTACAAGGGCATTCGATGTGTTTTTTTTATTCATAGATCTAAGTAATGCAGTAATGCATATCAAATTGATTAATTGTTCTACATATTTTTTCTTTCTGGTTATAAGTCGCAGCCGTAACGACAACGCTTTAAGGAGTTCCGGTGATTTTAGAAAAATCCGAAAATCTTTGATATTATTTTAGATCCTAAAGTTTTTCATGAATTCATGAAAATTAATATAAATTGTCCTTAATGACGTAAATAATAACTGAAAGCAAAGTGCTGAGAAATATCCTTGTTTCCACAAAGTTAAATGGGATGAATAGAGCTTGGGTTTATCTTGGAACACACAATTACGAATCGCATAAAAAATAATTATTCAATATTGCCAAAGCGAAAGCTAAAAATGAATACACATTGAGACAGACTGTTGGTCAAGCATCACAAAGAAGAAAAATAGAAAACCTCAGATAAAGCACTCTTAATTCAGACATAAGGAATTTTCAGAAGAAATGGTGTTTCGGACTTCCTTTTCAAGGGAAAACCAGAGTAGGTGCCAAGGCTTTGAAAACAATAGGATTTAGGTTACATCCGACCCAGCGGACCTTGAATGTGCCGAAAGATTACTTTTATACATTTTTTTCAATACAGCTCGTCATATTTTATATAAATAGGGCAAAAACCAAACCAAATGACTAACCATGTTGCATTCATAGCACATCGGCAGTGTTCGATGCGTGGCAGTTGCGGATTGCCGATCTAAAAAATAGAATATGTTGTAGAGATCTTCTTTTTCTTCATTATTACTTCTTTTCATCCAGGTGACAGCTATAGTAGATCAATGAGACACTGGCATTTGGTATTATATATTTCATACATGTGTTCACTTTGACCCATTCTTTAGTTTTTACTAACCGGTTGTCAATGACATTTGTGTTTAACCACCATTTATTACTTTACACTTGTATCTGTTCCTAAGGATATATTCTAGCACTAACAGTGATAGGGCTCGTTAGTTTTTCTGTAGCCGTTATCACTAGTAACGCCAAACCAGACTCGACTATTCACTTTTATTCCCACATATATTGGAATAAGCCAACGTGTCACAAAGAGTCCTAGTTCTGTATGGGCATTGTAGCAGTATACAGTACTTCAATATGCCAAAAAATATGCCGGAATCCAATAAAGCTACTAAGAATAAAGGTGGGAGTAAGTCTTTTTAAACAACTATGTTGACACAATAGATTTGGGTTCAAGCCAAACGCTCAGGATACCCAACGGGTCTAAGCTGGTGGTTTTCCACACTTCGTTTGGCATTCCCTTTCTGTGTAAACGGTCGCAATTAGTGTAGCTTTTGTGTTGTTGTTGTCACCCGAAACTCTTAGAGACAATTAATCCACTGTTAATTGATAACGTTATTGATCCAAGGCAGAAAGGAGGACACCCTTGCATAAACGCCCGGTGTCTTCGGGCGAGCACAGCCATAGCCAGTTGAGACAACGCCAACAACGACGTATCGTCCATCTTCTACTGCCATCAGCGGACCGCCAGAGTCCCCCTACACCAGTAAAGCAAAAAAAAATTTGTAGATTTATAAATGGCGAAAACGTGTAGGACCATTCATTCCGGATACACTAACCTCATTCAAGGTTTATCACACTGAAAAACTCATTAATGTAGTAGCTGGGGACATGTTAGGGAATCCAAACACTCGAATTTTTCGCAAATCGCAATACTTGAGTCTGTTGTATGCTATTAATTAGTATATGCTGTTCGAAGATCTCGCTGTTCGGTTCAATAGAACTTAGTAAATCCTGGAGTCCAAATTTACCGACCGGGCGAAGCATGCGTTAAACATGTAAACAGGAGAACACATGTAATGCAATCCTAATTTTCTATAGAAAATCATGTCCTCAGTTAATTCTTAATTCTACCTGATTGGACCAATTAACAAACAAAACTACCAAATATGCCATTTACGAAAAATCTGTTTATGGGGACTAAAGTATCGTAAGACTATCGTAAGCATTGCGGGTGGAGGTGCCATCGGACCGTTTTCCTGGTTGAGTATTAACAGTCATCATTACATGGGCATGTTAAAAGATGCCTTGTAGATGAATCTGGGCGTGTCTTCTTGCATAATATTAAGTTCGAAAAAGACGGCGCCGCATGCCGTCATATAATCAAAACGGTGAAGCTACGAAGCAACTGGGTCGATACCCAGTTTCGCTTTTTTTATGGCTGCTTTGTATGTTTTGTTTATGCGACTTAAGATAGCTGGACCTTTTATCCAGTCTTTTAAAAACGGAAGACATTAGCACTAAGCCTTCTACAATCGGAAAGTCAAACAAATGCATTTGACACGAAATATTAGTACTTACGCTAATGTATGTAAACCTATTAGAAGCATTGTGTTTTGCTGACGAGTTTGTAAAGAAACCTCTAAGTGGTCTCAAATACATAAAATATAAAATATATAAAAAAATATAAAATAAAAAGACATGCATTTCCGATAATACTAGGATCTTGATGCTGCAATTAGTTGACAAATTAGTGTTATATGGTCTGAACTGTATATGAAATCAGCCCCGTATTTAGTTGATGCTTCAAAACAAATAAAGGTTGTGTTAGAGTATGATAACACTCTAGGGTTAATCAATTACAGAAAGACTATTGTGTACTGTATAGCTGCAATAATCTTTACAAGCAATGACTACCTGACAGGCGTCTCTTCCACCTTTGCTAACGCCTGCACAGAGATGGTTGTCGAGTAGACGCATTCGAAGCGATGCCAGCCAATCATTGCACTGTGCGTTATCAAATACTATTAATGAAGTTTTCCGAGGAGTCTCTGTGATAGAAAAACAAACGACATAACGTACGCATAAAAAATTAGCTTAATATGTGCGTAGTGACCCATTAACCACTGCGCTCCAATAGATGTTAGGTACAGCTGAAACAAACATGGCTCACCTGGAAGTTTCCCAGCTTCGGCAAGTTTGCCCCACCCAATAACTGTTACGTTGATACCGGCCGTGGAAGCTAGACGAAGGGTTGGGAGACACGCTGGCAGAGAGTATGGGGAGAATTCAATATCCTTGGCCAGTTTAATCTTCAAATTCAATCAACATCATGTTAGCCGATGGACATTGTCAAAGACACCGAATTCTCAGTATCTTAGTTTATCGTTACGAACACGTCGGAACTAATCTTGGAAAGATATCTACAGTGTGTGCCTAAACTTCATTCGATTTCTGCCATCAGACCCGTTACAGATAAGGAAGCAAATATGTCACAACCAGTTGCGCATAGAAACACGCGTATATTATCTATTTTTCATATTATTCAGTGAAAGGCCAAGGCTTATACGCACAAGGGCAATGTCGTTGTCATATTTTCGATCCTTCCTGTATTGTGGATGCACGACTAACTTTTCGATTGCCATGGTAAGCGCCTGCTGGGGTCGCATTTCCTTGCGGCGTAAGTTAAAATCGGCCACGCGTACGACGAAGTTCGACTTGCTAATTGATATGCAAACCGTAATTCATTTCTGCATTAATTTTAAATCGACTTAATGTTACTAAGATTATTATTGTAGCGTTCACAAATCCAAAATGCATCTTTTACGTTTAGTTATTTTGCTTACCACCTTCTCGACGAAGCGTGTATTTATTCAGTGCTTTAATGGAAGGATAATATTTCCAATACGCTGACTTGCACAGTGTCGTATGGTACAGTAAGTTTTATTCATAATTTGGCAATGGTTTCTCAAAAGTCTTTTTGAAATGCAGGGTATCTAGCAATGGTAATTTAAATCGGCCAAGTCGATAGATCCGAGTAGATTTTTATTTGTGATCCATCAAAATTTATGTTGTTTTTCCATAACAAACCACACCGTAGTATTGCGTAGGAAACAATCTGCCTCGCATCATAAAACAAGTTCTAACTAATACATGATCAATATATGGTGTAGATTCATCAGGTAAGGCTGAAAGAATATCGTGAAAAAATGGAAAACCTTCAAACTGAATATGTAATGAAGAAGAGCAGTAATTATAAGTGTGGAGTAGATAGAACTTTGATAACCTTTTAGTGAATCCTACCTTTGTTTGGGACGCAGGATCTACTAACAACAGGGGCGATTATGCAGTAAACAATTCTGATTTTTTTCTAGCAAATATTCAATCCTTGAGAAGTACAAAACCAAAAATTATTGACCACGGGGCCTATACATAAAACATGTTGACAAGGCGTATTCAGAGAAATGATTCCAGCAGACTGATGAGTAGAACACAAATAATGAAATACGAATGTGTCATTCCTGTTTTGTTGTACATAGTTTTTGGCTTTCGTTTGAAACTAGAGAGAATGCTGGCCTTGACACTAGCAGCTTTTTATTGTCTTGGTTCTCGTTATACTCGTTCAAATTAGACCAGTAAATATGGTTCAAATGCCTTGCCTGTATCCATGGAAACAATGTGCAGCCGTAAGGATCCACCGATCATTGAGTATAGTGCCTCCGCACTTGTTCTCCCCTAAGGCTGGCAATAGTTGGATTGATACAAGCCAAGGAAATTCACCGTCGTAGACGTCCTGTCGAGCAAACAGCCATAGACACAGTTAAATCAGCTATATTTGAGTTAGCGTTTATTTTCTATTGACGTAAACCTAAGTTCTAGTATTTCAGAGGAAGTATCTGCTTGAAATTTCGATTTTATGTTAAATCCAAAAGACCACCGTACTTTGTTTCTCCAGGCATAAATGTTAACTCTGATATGTTTCCTATATAATACACTTTTTTTCATACTAGATATTAATACATCAAATTTGGGTTGCCGAAGCATTTTATAAACAATGAAAGCCGTTGCAAATTTGCTGGCATTATGCCGTTTTCTGAGGTTTAACTTTACAAATTCATATTTTAATTCATCTTTGAGGGCTCAATCGGATAACTCACCTCACCACCCACGACCCTTTGACGTCTTGCTGTAGATCTACCACATGCGGAATACAGGAGCCTATCTGAAAGCAATACACTCCTGACATAAGTAAGCCACACACTTGATGCAATGTAAAATCATAGTAACAACGCGCATTACGAAGCAGCCATCAAAAGCAATACGAAAATACTTTTTTCTACTCCCTAATTATTGATATATCTTACAACAACGGCGCGCAAACATTTGACTAACATTATTCATAGGTAATACTTTATTATGCGTTTTATGATTGTAAAGTTGATCCGTTTTTATTTTCACAACGGTGTGGTTTACTGGAAAGGTGCAAAGTTGTGCATTGTTTAAAGAATACGCCGGATATAGAAGTTGCTTAGATATTGCAATTAATTAGTTTTATTATTTGAGTTCTCATGCATTATTAAACCATATCTCCTTTTTGTAAACTATTGAGACGACTTTCAATGTAATACATGAATATATATACATATATATTATTGACATGGTCAATATATATTCTAGAGAGATTATTTTTGATGAGAGATGAGTCGCATGGCACTAGCATTAATAATGCAAATAAAAACTCAGCTGTGAAATTACGAAAAAAATAATAAAACAGAATCCTCTCCGAGCTGTATTTATAGGAAAGTTTTTAAGATAAGTGGCAACGAAACAATAGCGACGAGCGTTAAAAAAGCCAGAAAACCTTTTAAACATTTACTTTAAAGGAAATCTTGAATAAACGTTATGCACTGATAATTAAGGAATAAATTTAAGCCCCTCACAACAGGTACAACATTATTACGCCCCTACTAGTGAGAGCTACTAATTTTGGCTAGTTGCAAGGATGGAGTGTTATTCTTGATTGCGTCGAGTCTGTTTTCCAAGATTCCACTGACATGCCAAGCGCTGGCGAGCCTTAGAGGGCCCAATACTTCATTTGCGAGGTTAGAAACGAAGACGCATTTGGACCGGTTTCCACTGGTGTACGTAGACGAGTAAACGTACACGAGTTCGCAGAGGATTTGGAGAAATCCTCCTTTTGCGTGTTTCTTTTCACTTATTTCGTGCAATGCCTTACCCCTTTTTAATATTGTCGAGCTCGACAACATTCAACCAACATTTCTTTTTCAGACATCGGACAAATTTAACATTCTATTCCGACATACAGCTGTACAAACAGTGGCGTGTGTTGCATATAGAATTCGTAGTAATTAACCAAAATATTTATGTTCATATAAAGTCACAGCATGTCTATGAACGTTTATTTCTTCTAGTTAACTCACAGCGAGTCTCTAAAATAACGAATATAACTTTATTTAACATATTGAAACGAGCTTTTTTCAATGTTCTTCATGTACTAAATTTAATCTTGATCTTCGGTACTAAGAAAAAACTTAACGTGTATGTTCAGTCTTACAATAATAAATTAACCTTCAAATAACGTGCGAGCCTACTCAGCCTAAAATAATACTTTAATAAAATTCGAGAAAATGAGTAAAGCGTAGCTGGATTAGTAATTTGAAAAACGCTTTTAGAAGAATTTTGTCGATTTCAACGCAATCTACGTTTAACAATATAAGTTTTTCTTTTTTATTTCACCTCGCCTTACGCACAGAGAACAACATACAAACGATACTTCAACTAATCACTAGAGCAGCCCATTAGAGAATTAGATTTCTGCTTGCAGTGTTCCATTTCTATTTCAAGGCGATACTTTTGAAAACAAAAAACTAACAATTAAATATCAGTAAGTTCACTCGGAAACGCTTTTATATTATGATAAATACAGTTGACAATACCCATTTGAAAAGTAACACATTAATACCCTTTCTGCCATTACTTGATCCAGCATAAACGCCATCGTTAAGTATTTTTCATTATCGAAACGTTCAGTCTACAAGAAATGATTAGTTCATTCAGTATCCTCTTTTCACTTGGTTAATGTAAAAAAGATATACAATTCAACGTTTAAGGATGACGCAACTTTGGCATGCCTAGCTTCTAGGCCGCGTATCTTCGAAGACAAACAATAGCTAGGTGAATTATTTATTATCAACTAGTTAAATAACTTAAAGTGAGGTAGTGCCATACGGTACTTTTGTAGTACAATCTGAGTTACGAAAGGGTTATTTTTTTTATATTTAGATAATATAACATTGAACCTTTTTTTTTTTATAGCTAGTGCAATATACTCCAAGGCTAAATTATAAAAACAGAAGTGGACTTGAATTGCCATCTTAATCAGGCGCCACAGTCGATTCCGCGAAAGTTTGAATGAAGAGAATTTTCGCCTGTGTATCTAGATACAATGTCTTAGAGAACTACAAAACTGGACGCTGTCTCCTCCCCGTTACCCATACAATAAATCAGGGATGTAACGTCGACGATCATTTTTACGCGTATAGGGATGTGCAGTACATTATTACAAAGTAGTAAATTCTCTACGTAAAGACATGACATTAGAAGGGGTCAAAAATAGCTTTTATATTTCATCAGCTTGATTTTCCTTTTGTTGCGTCAGCCAACCGCACAAAAACAGGCTAGTGGGAATTTCGTTACGATCTTTATGCCAATGTCAATGTCCGGCGCTAAACACGAAATAAAATTAATTATAAAATATCGCATTTAGTCATCTATAGCTCAACCATAGGCGTTTAGTTGTCGCCGAGCTTAGTCTCACCAAATTAGTGCATACATCGCCAAGAGAAACATTTAGGTTGTCAGTAGATGTTAAATTAATAAGCTATGTCGCGATGAATGGGGGCATCATAAAAAGAGACAAATTTGTCTGTGTTATGTACGTGCATATATCTACTTATTTTTATATCGTTCGAGTTTTTGATCGTGGTAAAGTGCCATCCATATCGTTAAGTCGATATGCTCATACTTTATCGTACGACCGGGATGGTTTGTGGCAAAGCGCTAATCTGTGCAGTATCCTCTTGGCAATGATTTCTATGGATCATTTGGCAGGATTAACTATAAGTTGGTTATAATTACGCATTATATGCACTAAATACGTTAAAGACATAATTAATTCCCACTAATCTAAGCAAAAGATAGCGATTGATTGATGAACAAAATCATCACCCTTATTGTCATATTCAAGCATAAATCCTACAGATAAACAATATCTTTTGATACAACATGTTCAATTTTGTTTCTAACAAAACAATATGATCGCTTGCCTAACTTTGACGGAAGCAGAACAATGCAATAAGAACAGTAACTTACCTTACTATAGAACAACGTCACGGTAGAAAAGTACGTTACTATTTACACGGTTCATTTGCATACGCATACTTAGAGATTAATTATTCAGCATGTCTAATGAGGCGATATGTATTTATAGAAAAAGTTTTAAAAGAATATATCGATATTGGAATTTGAAAGACCTTATTTTGAAATTATAAGTTCTAATGAAGACACAGTAAAGGGTGCCTTTCTCAGGCTTTCTACCGATTAGCTAAATGTATTCAGAATACGTCTCAAGTCAACTTAATATCATTTATGCTTATGGGAAACGTGACACAAATATTTTAAATTTAATACTCTATATTCCATACCCTTTGTCAATTACGATCACAAAAACTTCATTTTTTACGTAATAATAAAAAAAAGCTTTCAAAAACTATAACTGACCTTTTAACCTAGAAGAATGTTAAAATCTAGAAGCATTATTTTATGAAAATATGAAACACAATTCTTACCGCCTTTTAATTGCGTAGTGTTTCAGTTCACATTGGTTTTTTTGCTTGGCATCTTAACTAAAGGTGGAGCTCCACGCCTTCCGTTGGGGCTTTTAACAATTACCTCACAGATCACAGCCGCCGGTGCTTAAAACAAAGAATGAAGACCGTTTCCCTTCATGCGAAAAGGCGTATAGCCAAACCAGCAGATACAATTTCTGAGGACGAAGATACTTATATTACAAGCTTTCCTACTGAGTACTTAGCAGAACTCATCAATGATGTACAAAGAAAGGCTGTGTTAACATTGTGATTTTTACGTCTGGTACTGTCATTAAGTATATGAGTATATACAGGACGAACGATAGTTTCTTTGACATAAAAAGGTCGAAACTATGAGGAAAAGCCGGGTCATTTGTCTGGCCTGCAGTCATAACCGTACATAGATATTAAAGGAACGAAATATAATGAAAAGGATCGTAAGATGTAAGTTCAAAACGTACTTAAACGCAAATGATAAATCAAGGTGATTCACGCTGATTGTCATAATTTTTATAATGCATAACATATATGAAACCTTCATCTGTTAGTAAATGAATGTGTTAATCACGCGGCCCATATTTAACCATTATAATAGCACTAGCAACACCTCCTCATAATGTCTCTTTACACTTACAATCTATGATGATCTGAATATAGTAGGATTTTTCATTTTTAAATCGATGCATTTCCGAATCAATCACACTATATATCATTTATATCTATTTTCTCTCATCCATAAAATTCATTGTCGATAACTACAACGACACACAAGCAATCTAGAGAACGCTTGCAAGAAAACATGTTCTACTCATTTGATGATAACTGAATTTGATCCGTGGCCAAAATACATGCAAGAGTTATTACCTCCTTCGTGGTCTGCAGAAAGATCATTGGCGCTCTGTCGTTTTTGCGCTTCACTGCTTCCAACCAAGTATAGCAAACAAAAACCAAGCCAGAGGCACAGGTCTCGTGTTATAAAACACATCGTCACGTACTGAGTACTTCACTATGAATAACCACTAGACTGTACTCTCGTCTGAGCGAAAAAATCAAAGTGCTTTGTCGGTCTATTATCCGTCTTCGTGAAGGGTCTTCCTTAGGGGCGCACTCAAGATTAATTCTCACGAGAAATAAACATTTTGTGCTCAGTCTTAGCCTTACTTGAATATCGATGCAACCAGAAACTATACAGAACTTGCGGCATGAACAATGTACACCATGAGAACTTGTAGAGACACTTGAGAATTTTTGCGTCCAAAGTCACGCACTCAATGTACACCAACTACCTATGGCAATTTCATTAAATTGCATATATCCTCAATTGATATTAATATTGCTGTCGAGTGTGTCAAGCAGATATCACTAATAAAAAACACCGCATCGAGTATTATCCTTGTGTACGATGCGTTCCACTAGCTTGTTCCTCTATGAGTGCTCTATTCAAGCACGCACTGGTGTCCGGAACCGTCTTTCCCATATACCTCTTGCTAAGAGGACGATCTCGGAGTTTCGGTAACACACTGTAATTGCTTGTTCTTGCTATATACAAGGCCGTCTTTTGAACTTGATCTTGACTGGGCGTCGACTGACAATAGTGCTGTACAATTCGCTTTGTTGGTAGGCTGGTGTCCGTTCGTCCTTATATACTTCGGACAGTGCGCGACCACTCAGCATGGCCTAGGCTGGCACTAAGCACAGCCCGCTCAGGGTTGCAGTTGGCACCGCCGACCGCGATGCGGCGCCACTATCGACACGTCAGGGTTGCATCCTGTACCAGTGCGCAGTGGCAGAAGCCCCGCCACTGCGCAGTGGCGCTTTTGCTGCTGCTGCTGCTGCTGTATGTATCTATCTATCCATCTATCAGGTGTAAGCATTTCATCGCTCGCTAATGGGTAGGTAACCCAAGTGCAAGCAGCGGTGGAGGCGGCATCAGAAGCAGCGGCGCCTGTAGCCATGTCAGCGACGTATAGGAAGCGATCGGACTGAGCGTCGTCGGTAAAGTTCTATAGCTTTAGTCATGATTCTGCTGGTTGTAGTAGTTAGCTCGAGCAGTCGCAAACCAACTATAATCGCTTCGTCAGCTAGCCGGTTTCTGTAGGTGGATAGCTATGTCGAGGGATTTGTTTGCTTCTAGTTTGTAGTTTGATGGATACATGTGTGTGTGTGTGTGTGTGTGTGTGTGTATTTCTACCTGCCTGTGCGTGTGTATGCATGTTACCAGGACAAATGGAACTGCATGCTAGCCAACCAGGCGGCGAACCAGCAAGCGAGCGCGGGAGGAAAGCAAGCAACAGATTACCGCCTGGCCAAACACGAACGTGTGGAAGTACAGGTGCCGATAATTTGACGCTGTCAGCAAAGCGACCTTGCTCCCATGACACCCGACTTCATAGAGACGCATGCAAGTCGCACACACAATCACACAGTTGATCAATTGACGCTTCACCATCATCATCGCCATTGAAACATAATCATTCTCTACAGGTGGTTCAGCTGCTGCTGCAGCAGCTTTAGACGTCGTCGCCGTTCGTCGACTGTATACGAGGTCTGGACAGGGCCAGGTGGCGCACGTCGTACTATCAGGAGCTACTTATGGGACACCGAGAAGCCGTTATGAAGACTCATGTTTTGCTTTTTGCTATATTCGATAAAGAATTTGAAACTCCAATATAGAAAGCGTCACTCAAGTTATTGACCTTCCATACGCAACGGCCTGAGCGGCCTTTACCGAAATCATTAGGTAAAGCTGGAATCTTGAATGAATGAAGAGGAAGATACAGAATAGAAACAATTATGAACAAAAAATATTCAATATTCCAACACTTTTTGCGGTGTTTGCAGTCCAAACAACAGTTTTCATTTGTAATCGAATTGTTTCCCTACTGCAACTTAAAGCAGCAAGAGGTAGAGCATATGTCAAGATTACTTTGCGATATTTTATGCAATTACGAAATATCTATTTCCTTATTATTGTTTTAAATTACTTGCAAGACAGGCGAATCAATAGGAAAAACGATTAAGAACGATTAATTCTCTGTTTTGTGCTCAACCCTGAAAATCAGCTTTATTAGATTCAGGTTTATCCTCTAGCAGTTGGTATAGATATACCGAAGTACACGCACGCTTGCACCATGTGTCCGTGCTATGTAAAGATTAATCCATAAGGTCAATAGTTAGATTAGAGCGACAGGTTTCCGTTGTTTCCGCATCAGCCTACGGAAGTATTCGCCGCTTCAACTAAGAATAGGCTCGATGAACTGATGCAGAGTTGTGCACGATACTGGGAAGTCTAGTCAATTAATATTATGATTTCTGCGTAATAATTTCCCAGGTGTGATCAACAATAAGCCCCTGCTACTGGATGGCTGACATCGTAGTGTTGTTGTTATGCTGTCGTGTTCTCAGATGTTGTATAACTTGAGCACCAGTGATAACTTCTGAAGGTCACTGTTCAGGGAGAGCTGCAACATGAGCGTACAGATGCAGCTCCGGGAATCTCACGGTCGTGGCGCGTCCGCTCTTCAATGTTTGTGGCTATCAGTAATGCTCATCGGTAGGCATCTGTGGACGCGCTTTCGAGGTCGGGGTGAACGCCAGGGTCGAGCGCGTCAAGTGACGATTGGCTTGTCAGGACGACTCGTGCTCGGCTTCGGCCGATCAAAGAAAAATTACATCAGCCTACCACGCGTTGATTTTTGGTATCCTTATAGCTGGCAGGACAATAGTTGTCTATAAAAGTCTAGAGGTGACCAGCGAGCTGACAAGCGAAGTCAGCCAAGTTAACGAGGCTTCGAGGAAAAGTGTTTAAATTTTAAAGCGAAGCAGAAAAAAAGCTCCTGGGCGCCTAAGAAAGATAATCTTCCATTTGGTTGCGTTACGTTGTCGGTATGACACTTGACTAGAGTTTAATTTGCAAGTAAGTAGAACAACAGATTCACCGGGATGGTATTGTTTATAGCTACGAGCAGTAACTGAACGTATTAAACAGCTGCATAAAGACATCAGTCGATTTCGAACCTGTTTTATTGACACCTTACGCGTCCTTCAAATTTTAGTGGGCAAACACGTTAGCACCGGACCATCACGGGGCCACTTCTAATGCTTATAAAATAAGGAAAGTCGGCTGTTTTTCTTTCTTTTCCAACACGTTTGTTTTTTTGTAAAGTTTATTCTTGTTCCGTTGCTTATAGCCTCTAGTGGCAGGAAATAGCTCTCGCGAACTGCAAATTCGTCGGATCTGTGCATTTTAAAACACACTTACCGACACATTCATATATTAACTGCGCATAAAATCTGTGTGCGCAAATGTCGCTAAAGATTGAATCATTTCATATACGTAGTCATTTCTTTAGACAAGCGAAACTCTGAATTATATATATATAAATATATATATATATATGGATTATTGAAAATATTATAGTAGGAAACCACTAGGAGATAACTTTTAACGCGAGGTCGCAAAAAACAAATTTTAATGTTTGAGACTTATTGGCTATAACTCAAAATAAAAACAAGTTCAACTCTTCTATGTATTCAGGCGTAGGCGATTCTAGAAGCCAAGATAATACATCATCATTGTGACATTCTTTTTAGGCCGTTAATCAATAGTAAGCCGACTTTCGTACAATAGTTAGAGGAAGAACAGATTCACCTCTTACATACTAGAACAGCTGTAAAATATTTCAGGCTCGAATTAAGATGTTGGAGCTAGCTTACTCAAAGAAACATTCCATTGTTTCACTTATTTAGCTTACTCGACAACGCGGATTGCAATCGCATAGGTGGGACTAGTCGCAGCACGTTTATGAAGTCCTCTTGCACTTGGACTGGAGTTCAATAATCTAACATAATATGACGAAGCCACTCACGATCTCAAAAAAAAAAAAAGTCGTCATTGTTATTTGTTTAAAATAAGGGAAGTCTGTAAATAGTTTAAAGCCCCTTGGTAACCAATTAATGTTCGCACTCATTCCCTTATGAGCATATGATATACGTATTTGTAGAGCGTGGGTGACAAGGCCTTTAGCCGGCGGAACTATACTGAAATGCCCGATTGCATTTTCTGATAGATCTGCAAGTGGACACGATCTATAGCAGCTTATTCGTGCGAGTCCGCGATCGAATGACGTCGATGTCCTTCCATCTATCTCTGAAGGATAGCAATTTGTTACATCATTTGTCTGAAACCCGCTTGACATGACACACATTGGCATGGCCTATAAGTAACGACCTTCACTGACCCCGAAAATCATTGTTTGATGAAATACTAAAACCGACATGGTGCCCAATGTAAATAGGGATAATGCTGTGTTGTTCGCCTATAAATAAAAGATGACCATATCGGGATACATTATTATGTATTTGATTATGTATATAAATGTGTATGCACGTTTTTGTCCAATTGCGCAATAGAGTGTGCTTTAATTCGCGAAAACTGGCAGATAATCCAACCTACTTCACTGATTACACTATATAGGCCATTTGTCTGCTGCTTCCTGTCAACTAAAGTCAGGGTCGGCCTGTTAATTATGTTTAGCTTCGATAGCTTTTGAATTCTAGCTACAAGTTGATATACTACCTGCGCACCGTTTCGCGGTACAAAATTTAGTTTCAAAAAGTTCAAAGAACTTCCGAAGGATCAAAAAGATTGCGCTAAACGACTAGTCTATTCTGGCAGCGTCCGTAGCTTACTGGGTTTTGGCCGAGGCCCTTTAACTAACTTCATGCACGTTTGCTAGATACATGATTTGCTATTTTTTAGATGAGATCCTAGTATTCTATAACACAGGCACGATCAGCGTTCTCACAATCAGCCCCGTGAATTGTGAACTCAATTGACATTGAGAACTCAATGTAGCGAGTAAACGATCTGTGAGACTCAGCGAGTTCTTGACTGTAGAAACTGTTTTAAATGAAATGTACCTCGTTTGTCAATTACGTCCGGTGATCTTTTTTATGCCTTTTTTTTTTAATTGATTGCAACGGCATAGCATTTTTTTTCAAGTTTCAGAGAAAGCCAACGCTGATTTGTGAGTACACTTCAAGCGCATGAAAGGATTTGTTATCCTTTCATACGTAATTGAGCTAAGCAGAGAAAGTGTGTTCAAAACGTCAATCCGGTTCCCGTAAAAATTACATTGTGATATTGCGGTTATCTGTACTGGCATAATCTAGACTAAAATTGGCGTCTCTGAAGGTAGTTTGTTTATCATTTGTCACTCATTTTTAACATGTAATGGTATGATACTACATTGCTTGCATATATATTGAATTTGGAGAGCATATCATGTCGTGTTAGTTGTGAAGAAGTTTTGACCATTAATTTGACAGACGATTGAGCGAGATTTTTCAAATGTACTGAAAAACTTGTGTAAATTAGGTAAGCTTGGCTCCATTAAGAGCCCTTTTTTAGGTTACTGTATTTAAAGGTTGCGCATTGATTTGTGTGAAAAAGCATAATTGACCTCTTATTTAAACAAAAGTGAAGCTTACTGTTGCCCACTTCTTGGGCTTTTTGTTTCTATTTCAAAGACAGTTCAAATTTGTCAGAATACACCCAAATATGTCAATAGGCAAAATAGATTGGCTGAATCTGCGCCCTAATCGTTTCTTTGATAAAAAAAAAAGCATACCGACTTGCGACAGCAAAATATGC